TTAAAAATCGTAAACTAGGAAAAATTATGTTTTTCTTTTTTTCTTATTTTTAAATAAATAAATAAATTTTTCGTCTTTAAAATCTTCAGAAGAATTTTTAATTAAAAAAAGAAACGTCTGGTAATTTCCCCCCCCCCCCCCCCCGTTTGTTTAAAACAACAACGAACCATTATTAAAGGAAAAGGAAATCCAAGTTTCAAACGAATCATTATTTAGTATTGTTAATTACTATTATTTATTATTATTATCATTATCATCATCGTCATCATCATGGTCGTCGTCGTCGTCGTCGTCGTCGTTTCTGACATGGGAAATTATTATAATAAAAATATTTTTGATTAGGTGAATAAAATCTCGGTGAGGACGAATTATTAAAAAATTTTTCGTGTTGTGCAAATCTCCGTGATACAAATTTAAAATTTTATTATTATTATTATTATTATTATTAAAAAGAAAACACGCACGCACGCACGCACAATGAAATAATTAAGAAACGAACCGCACACGCACAAAGGGGGGAGGGGTAGAAAAAAGAAAAATTTTTTGTTTTGTTTCGTACAATGTATATTTTTATTAATAGGATTTAAATGATGAGAAATTTTTTTTATCGTGTCATGAGAGAGAGCAAAAGACAGTTCACACACGCACGCACACACGCACACATACACGCACTCACGCACACACAACAAACAATTAAAAAACGTTGCACATTGGATTGCATTGTTTGATATTTGTTTGTCGAGTGTGGCGTTCGTTACAACTTTTGTCTCCTACCATTTGTGAGAAAAAAAAAGGATTTTGTAGAAAACAATGAATGTGTTTTGATGGTTACGATAATTAAAAAAAAGTAGTAGTGGTGGTAGTAGTAGTAGTAGTCATAATAATAATGATGATAAAGTAATAAAGAAGAGAGAAAATTAATTTAAATTTTAGTTTTGTGAACGGTTAATTAAAGAGGAAACTTGAAAGAAAATGGTAATAAAAAAAAAAAATATATATTCATCTTGTTCGAATTTAATTTTTTTTTGGTTGTTTTTGGTTGTTGTTGTTGGTTGTTGTTGTTGTCGTCATCGTCGTCGTCATTAATTTATTATTTTTATTTTTTCTTGTACGTGTTTAAAAAGTTTTTTATAATTTTTTTTTTAGTTTTAAGTTTTTTTCGAACTTTTGCTGTTGTTAGATCGATCCATCGATCGATTAATCGATTAATCGATTAATCGACTCGATTCGATTTCATTTATTATTTGAAAATCTCGTGAAAATGAAGAAAAATTTTTTTCTTTTTTCCTTTTTTTTCCTTTTTTTTTTTTTAATAAATCGATTCGTATCGATACGTATCGATCGATCGATGGATCGATCTATGCGAGATACGTTTTGATGCGATAACGTCACGATTTTTTCATTTGAATTTTTCCCACACGCGGGAAAAAAAAAAAATGAAAAAAACTTTGGTGAGTTTTTATATTAATAATAATAATAATAATTGTAAGGAAAGAAAAAAAAAACCGTTCGTGAGCGTTTGGTTGTTGTTTTAGTATTATTAATATTATTTTTTTTTCTTCTTTTTCTTTAACTGGAGTTTGGAGATTTTTTTTTCTCCACGTTTCGTATCGATCTTGAAAAATTTACCGGGATAAACTTTAAATTCGCGGTATGATTGAAAAAAAATGGGGATCCCTAATTTTAATTGGGGGGAAAATGTTTTTATGGAGAATAGAAAAATGATTCGAGTTGTATATCAAAAATTTTTATCATGGAAACTCATCATCAATCTCTCGTGAATTATAAGATTTCTATTCGTTTTATTATTATTATTATTATTATTTATTTCGAGCATACCTAGTTGTAGACGTACCTCCCCCTCACCCTCCTCCCCAACTCTTCCTCCTCAACTCTCATTGGCGAGTACAAGTTAATTAACTGTTATCTGATGGGTTATTTAAATTTTTTTTTTATTTTTTATTTTTCCAGCATTCACATGAGGAATTTTCATGGAATTTAATTGCCTTTTTTTTTTTTTGTCTTCTGCTTCTAGTTTTTTTTTTTTCTTCCAACCAATCATTTCCACATTCTTGTTTGCAAATAAATTCCTGGTTTTGTTACCGCGACAAAATTAATTTCGAATCCAGAAATAAAAGGGGAAAAAAATTTTTTTAAATAAAGATTTTAGCTAATTAATAAATTCGCGGAATTGTGCTTTTTGTGCGTGTGTCTTTCCCGCCTTTTTTTCATTTAAAAAAAAATTAAAGGAAAGAGAGAGAAAGAGAGAGAGAAAAAACAATTTTTTTTAATAAGTTGACATTATTTTTTTCATTATAAGGTTTGATTTACATGATAAATAACGCCATTAATGTTTTACACGTAAAAAATTTTGTTTCTCTCCCCCCCTCTCTCTCTCTCTCTCTCTCTCTCTCCCGTATGAAATATGTTTTTGTAAAACGTAAAAAAAAAAAAAAACCTGTTCAACTTGAACACATGAATGATGCTGTGCAAACCTTATAGATATACCTACGAAAAAAAAAAAAAAGTAAAATAATTATATAGGGAACTAGATGTGGTATTGGTAAATAATTCCCATCAATTATTTTTGGAATTTTTTTTTTTCGTACATACATACTCGCATTCATTTCGTTATTATTATTATTATTATTATTTTTGTTATCGAAGAATCAAAGATTTTTCCAACACGAAATAATATATATATATATATATATATATATATATATAGATATTTTCGGTGTTTTTTTTTGGGGGGGGGGAGACACGGTGTGGAACCATGAGAGGTCACATTTTACCTGGACGTTTGTTTTTTTTTTTTTTTTTTTAACGAACTCTATGGAAAAACTATGATTTACAAAAAAAAAATTTTTTTAATGATGTGTGATTATGGTTTCTTATAGAATCAAGAGAGGATGTTGAAATTAAAAAAAAAAAAAAATGGAAACGGTTCGATAGATCGAACGATTCGATAGATCGATAGATCGATCGATCGTTAATGACTTCGTATGAATGACAAGTTAGAAAGATGGCCGGTAATAATTACCAAAATGAAAGATTTTTTTTTTTTGTTATTTGTGTAATTGGTTGGCGGTTCCGGTTGTTTCCTTTCCCCCCTCTCTCTCCCCCCTTCTCCCCCCGGATTCAATACCGACTTTGTAATTTTACAGCTACCATATTGTTTTTTTCATTTTACGTGACGTTTGTTTCATAAAAAAATTGTTTTTGTTTTAAAAGATTATATTGAAGGAGATGAAGAAGGAGAAGAAATTTATTTATAAAATTTCATTCATGCCTTTCTTTATTAAACCTGATTCATTTTAACACCCTTCACGTTCACTCCCCACCCTCCAACCACCCCCCCCTCGTTTCCTTTCCCCCTTCTAGGCGCGAAGCAATTCAATAATTTTTTATTGTAGTCCAAGTTTTTTTTTTTTTTTTATTAATGGTTACGGTGATCGTGTATAAGAGATGTTTATTGTCAGGTAAACGTGTTTTAATTTTCTAACAAACAATGGTTGTTGTTATTATTATTTTTCTTTTCTCATTTTATTTCATCAAACAACAACAACGCGAAATTAAAGAAAAAAAAAAATAATAATAATAATAACAATTAACAATTCGATTTCGTAGCGTGAATTTTTGTTTGTACGAAAAATTAATTAAATTTTGTTTTTGTTTTGGTTGTTGTTTGTTCGTCCATTTTGTTATTAAAATTTAATCGAAATGGAGTTTACGAATGAGAAGACAAACGCGAATTTTTTTTTTTTTTTTTTGCTTTCGTACAAACGAATCGGTGGTAAGAAACAAACGGAAATGAAATTTTTTTTTTTTTTTCGTTTCGGATTTTTATTATAATGAAACATTCGATATGATACGCCCAAAATGTGTCATTTAAATAATAATGATAATATTATAAACAATGCAGACGACAAATTAGTCGAATATAAATTTTTTTTTTTTTTATTTATTGTTTTAAAAAAAAAAAAAACGTTGAAAAGCTTTTAAATTAAAAACAAAACAAAACGAAAAAAAAAATTTTAAATTTGTCATTTTCATCATCCATTGTTTTTATTTAAATTTTTTTTTTTCGTATAAAAAAAAAAAAAACTGGAATAATAAATTAGTTTCGAATCCAGGAAAATTATAAACAAGATGTTGTTTCGTTGTTTGTTGTTGTTGTTGTTTTCATTGTGTTGAATTTTAAGGAAAGTTGTTTACTTTTCGCAAAAAAAAAAAAAACATTGTTTTGCTTTTTAAATCTACGACTTTACAAAACAGAAAAAAAAAAAAAAACCGAATGAGAAAGACTAGAATGGATTCTTTCCCCCCTCTCTCTCTCCCCACCCCTCCCGGCTACCCCCCCATTAAATAATTTAATTCGATCCAAACTCTAATAAACTAAGATAAAAAAAAATTACTGTTAGTACTATTATTATTATTATTATTTGTATTTGGGAAAGTCGAGTTAATTTAAATTAAAAAACAAAAAAAAAAAAAAAAGATCACGTTAGAAAATTTTTAATAATAATGATAATAATGGTAATGATTATAATAATAATTAAATTTTTTTTTTTTTAATAAACCACGAACGTACCTTCCACGACATCTCGTTTTGTATTTCTCTCGTAAAAAAAAATTTTTTTTTTTTTTTTTTTTTAATACTTCGATTCGCAACCATAACTAATAATGAGTTTAAAGTTTTTTTTTTTAATTTTCCGTTGAGAACAAAACTGAAAAACTCATTTGCGCGGTTTTCAAATACAATTATAAAGAATTAATTGAAAATTATTAGGTCATCGCTTTGTCTCTCTCTCTCTCTCTATCTCTCTCTCTCTTTCTCTTGGAGTCTTTCTTAGTTTCATACTTCATTCGGTTATGGTCGCCGTCAATTAATTTTTATATTATTTTCTTTTAAGAACGTTAGAATTATTATTATTGTTATTATTTAAAAGATGGCGATTTATTAATTAAAAAAAAATAAAAATAAAAATAAAAATTCATTCATGAAAAAGGTTGAACCGGAGGGTACGTGTCAATTGCCGGCAGCTAACAAAGCTTTGTTCTTGGAAAAAGTTCGACAATCGAACGCGGCATGTCAAAATGGAGATTTTGCTACCTCCGTGGCCCTCTACACGGATGCCCTTTCACTCGATCCTACGAATCACATATTGTATTCGAACAGATCGGCGGCACTCGTCAAAATGGGAAGGTTCGAACAAGCTCTACAGGATGCTATACGAGCCAAAGAACTTAACAGTCAGTGGCCAAAGGTGAGATCCCTTAAAAATCGATTGCTAGACCTACCTTATACTTTGAGAACGGAAGTAAAAAAAAGGTTTCTAAATTTTATTTCAGGCATACTACAGGCAAGGTGTCGCTTTGCAGTGTCTCGGGAGACACGGTGAAGCTTTAGCCGCTTTTAGCAGCGGTTTAGCACAAGATTCATCAAATACTCAATTACTCGCCGGTTTAATCGAAGCAGCCATGAAATCTCCAATGAAATGTAAGAAACAAAATTTTCCCTCCGATAATAATAATAATAATGTTTTCCTTAATTATTTTTTGTTTTGTTATTTAGCTACGCTGGAACCGATTTTCGATCAATTGGAAGCCATGAAACTGGATAAATCTCCTTTTGTTATAATATCGGTCATCGGTCAAGAGCTTTTAGGTGCCGCACAATACGCATCGGCCGTCATCGTTTTAGAAGCTGCATTGAGGATAGGAACGTGTTCGTTAAAATTACGTGGAAGCGTTTTCAGCGCATTAAGTTCTGCTTATTGGGCTTTGAATTCTTTGGACAAGGTAATTGTTAACCAAAAATAAAAATGGGTTTACCAGAAGAAAAAGATTTTGCGGTTACGCGAATGAGACAGATAGATGTTCAGAAAAAAAAATTTTTTTTTTTTTTTTTTATTTCACAGGCCATCGGTTACATGCAACAAGATTTAGCAGTTGCAAAATCGTTGGGCGATATATCCGGAGAAAGCAGAGCACACGGCAATTTAGGATCTGCCTATTTTAGTAAAGGAAGTTTCAAAGAAGCTTTAACAAGTCATCGTTACCAATTAGTCTTGGCTATGAAGTGTAAAGATACTCAAGCGGCAGCATCTGCTCTCACCAGTTTAGGTTTGTTATAAGAATTAAAGAGGTTTATAATAACGACCGCGACCGGAAATGAATTTTTTTATCCATTTAATCGTGAATACGATACGGAGAATATTAATCGAAGGCGTTTTTTTTTTCTTTTTTTTTTTTTTTAATTAAAGGGCACGTGTATACGGCGATCGGTGATTATCCAAATGCTCTGGCATCGCATAAACAATGTGTTCAACTAGTTAAACAAATGGGAGATAGATTACAAGAAGCGAGAGAAATCGGTAACGTCGGTGCCGTTTATTTAGCTATGGGAGAATTCGAGAGTGCTGTGGATTGTCACACTCAGCATTTAAGACTGGCTAGAAGACTGGGTAATCAGGTACGACGATGGGTTTTCATTTTGTTTTTATGTTGTGTGAAATGAGGTTAAATAGCGTAAATTTTGATGGTCTAAGGTTGAAGAAGCTCGAGCTTACAGTAATTTAGGATCTTCACATCACTATAGAAGAAATTTTCAACAGGCTATAACGTTTCATGAAAATGTACTAAGGATAGCTCAGGAATTGGGAGACAAAGCGATCGAAGCCAGAGCTTATGCGGGTTTGGGACACGCTGCCAGATGTGCCGGAGACTACAATCAGGTACGTTTAAAAATTTATGCATCAAAACGAAAAAAAAAAAAAAAAACTAATTGCGATTTTATTATTCCAGGCCAAAAAATGGCACGAGAAACAACTGGATATGGCTTTGGCGACTCGAGACAAAGTCGGAGAGGGTCGAGCTTGTTCGAATCTTGGAATAGTTTATCAATTATTAGGTGAACACAATGCGGCTTTGAAACTACATCAAGCGCACTTGAATATCGCCAGAGCTTTTCAAGACAGAGCCGGAATGGGAAGAGCTTTCGGAAACATGGGCAACGCTCACAGCGCGATGGGGTTTTACGAGCAAGCAATCAAATATCATAAACAAGAGTTGACGATATCTAAGGAAGTTAACGACAGAAGTTCAGAAGCTTCGACGCATGGAAACTTAGCGGTGGCATATCAAGCTTTAGGAGCACATGATATGGCTTTGGTTCATTATAGGGCTCATTTAAACATAGCCAGAGAACTGAAAGACACGGCCGGTGAAGCTTGCGCTCTTTTAAACTTGGCAAATTGTTTAAGCAGTCGTCAGGAATTTAGTCAAGCGGTGCCTTATTACGAAAACTACCTGATGTTGAGTCAGGTACGTCGATTTTCAATTATTTTATTTTTTATTCACCTCGTGAATTCTTTTCATTGATAAAAAAAATTTTTTTTTTCAGGAACTCCACGATATAGAAGGGGAAGCAAAGGCTTGCCATTTTTTGGGATACGCTCACTACTGTTTGGGAAACTTTAGAGAAGCCGTACGTTACTACGATCAAGATTTGGCACTGGCTAAAGACCTTCAAGATAAAATGAATATGGGTAGAGGTTATTGTAATTTAGGATTAGCTCATTTGGCTTTAGGCAATTTAGAGACCGCTTTGGAATGTCAAAAATATTTTTTGGGTAATTAAAAAAATACAGATCATATAAAATAATATATATTAACGATAATAATCACGATTTTTTAAATTTATGGTTTAGCCATAGCACATATGACGAAGCACTTACCGGGGAAATTTAGAGGATTGGGAAACATAGGAGACGTTTTAATTAAAATGGGAGATATTGAAGAAGCCATTAAAATGTTTCAAAGGCAGCTTGCGATAGCGAGACACGGAAGGGATCGCTCACTGGAAGCAGCTGCCTATGGTGCTTTAGGTTTAGCCCACCGAATGCTAAGATGTTACGATAAAGCTCTCGGCTATCATACTCAGGTTGATAAAAAAAAAAAATTTATGGTTCTTGTTAAAGTTTTTTATTTATTGCCGGCCGCCCTACAACTCTTATATAAAAACGTTTTCTCTTTTTAAGGAATTGTCCTTAAGACAAGAAATGGGAGAACTCAAAGGAGAATGCAGAGCCCATGGTAACTTGGGGGCAGTTCACATGGCCCTCGCAAACTACACCCATGCCATTAAATGTTATCAAGAACAATTAGAACGTGCTAATGAATTGAAAGATTCCGGGGTTCAAGCTCAAGCCTTTGGTAATTTAGGAATCGCCAGACTTAATATGGGCCACTACGAAGATGCCATCGGTTATTTTGAGCAACAGTTGGCAACCCTAGAACAATTGTCGACGACGACGGCATTACTCGATAAAGTAAAAAAAAAAAAAAAAATGGAGTTAAAATTATTAGTCGGTCATTCTTGTCTAGAAAAAAAAATTATTATTATTATTATTTTAGGGGAGAGCTTTTGAAAATTTAGGAGACTGCTACGATGCTTTAGGAGATTTAGAAGAAGCTGTCAAATGTCACGAACAGCATTTAGCCACAGCATTAAAATTAAAATCATCTAAAGATCAGGAGAGAGCTTATAGAGGACTGGGACATTCTCATAAAAGACTGGGAAATTTGCAACAGGCTCTTGTAATTTTTTTTTTTTTTTTTTCAAATATTTATTAAATTCGAAACAAAAAAAAAAAAAATAATAATAATAAAATTGTTTTCAGGTATGCTTTGAAAAAAGGTTGGTAGTTGCTCATGAGCTCAATAGTCCCGAAGCCAAAGCCGTGGCTTACGGTGATCTAGGCCATATACATAGTACGTTGGGAAATTTCGAGCAAGCTATCAATTGTTTAGAACATCAGATATCAATTGCCAGGTTTGTTTGTTTTTTTTTTTTTACACGGTGCGATTTATTGTTTTCGCTTTATTTCAACCTAGTTTTTTTTTTTGTCAACAGAGAACTCAAAGATAGATTAGGTGAAGCGGATGCCGCTTGTGGGTTGGGTCAAGTTTACCAACAAATGGGAGAACATTCAACCGCTCTTACATATCATCAAATGGAACTGACAATAGCCGAAGAATTAGAAATTTTAAGTCTTCAAGCGAGAGCCTATGGAAATTTAGGAATGGTTCAAGAAAGTTTAGGAAATTTCGAAGAAGCTTTAAGATATCAAGAGCAACATTTGAGTGTTGCCGCACAAACAAACGACAAATCCGAGAAAACCATGGCTTATAGTAGTTTAGGTTAAAAATCAAATAATTATCATCATCATCGTTGATTTTTTTTTAGAATTCTAACGACATATTAAAATTTAAATTTTGAATTTTTCAGGTCGAATTCATCAGGCTTTAGGTAATTCACATCAAGCCGTGGCTTATTTTCAACAAGGTTTAGTATTAGCGGAACAATTGGGCAGGAGAGAAGAGGAAGCGAAAATTAGGCATAGGCTGGGTTTGGCTCTATGGGGACATAACGATTTGGAAGGTTCGCAAAACCAATTGGAAAGAACCGTACAATTATTAGAAAGTATACGACGAGAAGCCACCGGTATAAATGATTATAAATTATCGCTGTTTGATTTGCAAACAGCCAGTTACCAAGCATTACAGGTAAAAATTTAACAAGAAATTAATTTTTATCTTTTACAATCGTGAAAAAAAAATTCAAAATGTCTTCCTTTTTTTTTTTTTTTTTTTTTTTTTTACTTGCAGAGAGTTTTAGTGGCTCTGAATAAACAAGAAGAAGCACTTTTAATAGCGGAAAGAGGAAGAACGAGAGCATTTGTTGATTTGATGATGGAACGACAAACACCGCAGAGAGGTTTAAGAATGGATGACAACGTTATTAATTCGGTCGAACAACTTTTAGAGGTTGTAAATAAGCAGAAAGCTTCGGTATTATATTACAGTTTAGCAGCCGGTTATCTCTACGCTTGGTGCATCGCCCCCAACAAGGGTAAAATAAATTAAAATTTTCTAAGGGTTGTAAAGTTTTTTTTTTTGTTTGTTTGAGTCTTATCGATAATATTTTTTGTAGGTATTGTTAAATTTCACGAAGTTGCCATAACGGAAAACGATCCGGATCGTGAAGAAGTGGAAAGACTGGATGCCATGACATCGAGCGGATCATTATTAGAACATTACATACAAAGCGTTCGAGATAGTTTAGGTGTGGAATTTCACACGGAAAAGGGTAACGAAGACGGTACGGGAGAAGGTTGGCCCCAGCAATGTTTGGAAGAATTAAACGACAGAATAAATCCCGAAGTGGATAAAACAGGATTTTTAAGAATGGTCAATCGTAATCATTTATTTAATTCTAGTAATTACAGCTTGAGTAGTTTATTCAGGTAATTTAATAAGAAACTTATTAATTCGAATGATTTATTAATGGGAGGGGGGTTTCATATTTTTTATTAATTACAATAAATTAATAATTAGTTTGGGAAGCGTCGGAGGAAGTGTTATAAGCGGTTCGGCCAGTCGACCTGGCAGTACGATATCCAGAAGGCCCCCCAGACAGTCTTGGCAGGGACCTCAGTGTCTTTTTGCTTTGTATCAATTACTAATAGCACCTTTTGAAGATGTTTTGCCGACATCTTGCTCCTCAAAAAATTCCGGACGTAAGTTTTTATACTTTATTACCCCTTTATTTGTTTATTGTTTCAAAGTGTTAAAATCTTTTATTTAGAACACTGCTGCTAAAATCAAATCGCATGGCGGGTTATAAAACGTTTCTTTTTTTCTAGTACCTCATAGTAAGGATTGCGTAGCCCAACGTGAATTGCTTCTAGTACTTGAAGGTGACCTTTATTTGGTACCCTTTCCCGTTCTCAGACCTCAATCCACGGACAATACATCGGATTATTTGTGTGAAAGGTTTTCATTGCTTGTCATTCCATCACTCACCAGCTTAAAATTAAACCAAAGAAACGCTAAACTTGCATTAAAAAATAATAAGCAGGTGGGTGGGATGATTCGTGCGGAAAATATATATGGATAACATGATGTCGAAAAGATGTTAAAGTTTTTTTTTTTATTTTTTCTACGTATAGGCGGAAGATCAAAATTCAAACATGTCGGCTTTGGTGATAGGAAATCCTAGACTTCCAGTTTCAGTGACGGAACAATGGGGATGGAATGCCATACCTTATGCCGAACAAGAAGCCGAAATGGTTGCTGAAATGCTTCACACGAAACCTTTAATTGGTTCACAGGTAGGGGTGTTTTTTTTTTTTTTTTTTTTAACGGTAAAATTTTATTTTATGGAAAAATATTTTAATTTAAATAATTTTTAGGCGAGCAAGGAAGCCGTTCTTTGTCAAATCGGAGATGCAGAATGCGTTCATTTTGCGACTCACGTTTCATGGAAATTATCCGCAATTGTTTTGGCTCCGGAAGAAGCTATAGAATCACAGCCTTCTTCTACAAGATGTTATAGTAGTGGTTTGGAACATTCTCAACACGATGAAAACAGCTCAGAAGTAATATATAAGCAGCATCACTCGCTGGATTAAGGAAAAAAATTTTTTTTGTATTAACACATACCTGACATTTCTTTCCAGTTATCTTCGACATTGGAGCTACCTAATTTGTCGGAACTTTTGCTGACCGCAGCTGATCTCTTAAATATCCGTCTTTCGGCACGTTTAGTAGTGATCAGTTCTTGTCACACGCGAGATCATCACGGTTGGGCTGCTACCGATGGTGTCGTCGGTCTTACAAGAGCTTTATTAGCCGCTGGAGCTCAGTGCGTTCTCGTTTCCTTGTGGCCCGTTCCCGACACGGCTACTAAAATTTTACTAAAAGCTTTTTACTCAGCTTTGCTCCAGGTAATTAAATAATTATTTTTTCAAAATTTTTTGTATCCTTTAATGAAAATTAAAATTAAGAAAAAAATTTTTTTTTTATTTTCTCAAAGGGGTATCGAGTCAGCCGGGCATTAACCGAAGCTATGCAAACCGTTCAACACACGAAACATTTCGCTCATCCTGCAAATTGGGCAGGATTTATGCTTGTAGGAGCTGACGTACGTTTATCAACGAAAGTAGCATTGATGGGACAAGCACTTTGTGAATTACTAAAAGCTCCAGACAGATGCAGGGATGCTCTTAGAGTTTCGTTACATTTGGTAAAAAAAAAAAAAGCAAAAACAATTATTTCGTTTTTTTTTTTTTGTTGTTCTCATTTTTAAATAATATTTTTATATACATATTTTTATATATATATTTAAATAATATTTAAGGTTGAGAAATCGTTGCAAAGAATTCATAAAGGACAAAAGAACGCCATGTATACTACACAAAAATCAATTGAAAATAAAGTTGGGTCCGTGAACGGATGGCGGGAATTATTAATGTCCGTCGGATTCCGTTTCGAACCCGCAGCAAATGGTATTCCTAGTTCTGTTTTCTTTCCTCAAAGTGATCCCGATGAACGATTAACTCAATGCAGTGCAAGTCTTCAAGCTCTTTTAGGTAAGCGAAATAAAAAAACGAAATAGGTAACGATAATTAAAATATTTAACGAATTTTTATTCGTCTCGCTTTCAGGTCTGAATGGTACATCACTTTTCGCATTGTCCAAATTAATTTCTAATATAGAAGTAGCAGACGACATCATAGAAGTTATAAGAGGTGTTTGCGCACAGTTTGCAATGAAAAGCATTGAAAACGAATGCGTCGAAATTCCAATCAGCGTCGGAGTTTGGAGAGTTCCGGGTTGTCACGAGCTACTTGCCAGTTTAGGTTTTGACCTTATGGAAGTTGGTCAAGATCAAGTCACCCTCCGAACGAGTAAAACGGCGAACCGAAGAAACATTCATTTCGTACTCCAAGCACTCCTTGCTTTATTTGGTAAAATATTTAATTTTTTCAAATCGTAAATAATAATAAATTTATTTTAATAACTTTTATTTAAAAATTATTTATTTTCAGATACCCAAGAAGCTCCGAAGAGTTTAAGTCTTGACTCATCAAGTTCTCTCGAAAGTTTAACATCGTTGGATAACGTAGAAAGTCGTCCGAGATCACCTCAGGGCACGGCTCCACCACCTCCACTTCCGTTTGTTCCGAACAGGCCAATATTGCCGGGTAAGTTCAACTGTAACCCAAAACGAATTTCAAAATTTCTTTTAAAAATTAAATTAATTTATTTTATCATTAATTAGTTCTTCGTGGAACTGGAGGAGCGTTTACATCTTACGTGAGAAGACGAGGAGAACCGGATGGAAGAACTGCTTCTTCTGCCGAAAATAATGTTTTGCCATCCACTCTTACATCGAGTTCAAACACTTTGAGCAGTCGAACGGAAAGCAGTATAGTGAATTCCAAAATCACAAGACCTGGAGGAGGAGGTGAAAGTGATGCCGCTTTTACTCCAAGTCCTCCCGTTGGTGCTCCAAATGTCCAAAACAACGGAGATACTTCGCCATGTTTGGCGACTCTCATGTTGGCTCATCAAAAGAAAATTAGAAATACATACAGTACGGATAACAATCCCGAAGGTACCGATAAAGTGTAATTTTTTAAATTTGTAAATTAAAAGTCATCTAACATTTTTATTTTGTTCGTTACAGGAATGATGAATCATTATCACGGAAGACCGGATTCTTCGAGTTCAGCGAGTAGTGCGACCGACTGGGAAGGCAACGGTCATGGTACCATACTGAGAAAAGGTCAAATTCCACCCGTGCCACTGCCTCAGATTCCTCCGGTTAAAAAACAATCATGTGAATCACATTTTAATTCGTTGTCCTATTCCAACAATCAGAATATATTAGATTCCGAAGTCGGGTCTCACCGTAGTAACGTTCCACCGCCGACTTCGGATACGGATTATTCAGATTCGAAAACGAAACCCGATGTGTTCCCAAAATCTCGTCCCGGTATCAAAACTCAAATGACAAACGATGTCCCGACGGCTCCGATGATAAGAAATGTTAAAATACCTAGAACCGTACCCGTACCTGTAGATTTTACAAGTTCCATAAAGAACGGAATAAGACAAAATGGTGTTTCGCAACAGTGTGGAAAAGGTTTAATTGAAAAGACTGGCACGAAAAGACAGCAAAGTTCAATAAACGTCCTCGACAGGTTGAACGTCAGAGCGGATTTGAATTTGAATAACGAAGAAGGTATCATGACTTCCGGTAAGGGATTGTATTATTTTCCAGCGGATGAAGAATCGGAAATAACACCGGTAAAAGGTTTAGACGAGAAATTAAACGCGAATAAAAAAACGAGCGACGTTTCGAATCCGACAATTCAAGATCAAATCATAGCAACCCAACTGAGAAGGCTCAACAGAGAATTGACGCCGACAATCTCAGACGTTTACCACGAAAGAAACATTGGATTGGGATTGGCACCGCCGCTTTCCAAATTACTTATATCCAATCAAACGAATAACGGAAATTTCAGAAATGAAAACGACGGGGATTTCCAAATTCAAAATCTGGATAAAATAATGACGGCGGAAGAAACGGACGAGGATAACATGGAAGACGTCGGAAAAGGGCCGTGGCTCTCGAAAAGCAATTTGAACCTACACGCAAACAACACGGAGAACATAATGATGAACTCTTTGATATCGAACGATAAGAAAAATAACGGGGGAGGTTCACCGTGTAGCGAATTGAGCAAAAGAGACGAAGGAGATGGAAGATCCGTCGCGGATTCTCAATGCAGCATGAGCAGTTTTAAAAAAACGGTCGTTTTAACGACGAGAAATGAAAAAAACGATTCCAACAATGACGATGGCATTTATTACGAAGAAGATGGAAACGATGAAAATTTGCTACGAAATGAAATGAATTCGGAATTGAATAATAAAGTTCCGATACCGAGAACGAGAACTAATAAAGGACCACCGCCACCGGTGCCAACAACGCGAAATAAAATAAATAATTAAAAAAATTTTTTTTTTTTTTTTTTTTATTTTTTCAAATGTTGGTCACACGAAATTCGATGACTTATAAAGCACGTCGTATAATTTATTTATGTATAAAAATCATTTTAAAATAATTTTTTTTTTTTTTTGTAATTATTATTATTATTTAAAAGAAAAAAAAACGACATTAATGACTTTAAATAAATAAATAAATTGTTTTTATTTAAACTCGAACTTCCTATCAAGGTAAGTACATAAAAAAAAAAAAATTAAATAAGGTTAATAAATAAATAATAATAATCAAAAAATAAATTCACAATGATTCTATTTTTTTAAAATAAAACAATTAAATATATATATATATAAATAAAACATAATAAATAGATATAATAATAAGTATATCAACACTATTTTTGAGCAAAAATTATTATTATTATTATTTAAAAAATTCTACAAATAATAATAATAATAATAATAATAATAACTAATAACTATATATATGTGTATATCATATGGATCAGACATATGTTGTTGCTTTTAATAGGGGAATTTTATTTATTAATTTTTTTTTTTTACTTTTTTTTTTTTAATTAAATAAAAAAATAAAAGATTTTAGAAAATTTATCGATTAGTAGTAAATCTAATAATAATAATAATGATAATAATAATGATAATCGAGTCGATATAGACTCGTAAAAAAAAAAAAAAAAAAAAAAAAAACTTCGAAATCACTTACTCGCGAATAAATAAAAGGTAAGTTAATTCTTTCCCCCTGATATGATTAAAAATTATTATTATCATCATTATTATTATTAATACTATTATTATTATTATTGAGATATACTTGAAATAAAAAAAAAAAAAAAATTTTTTTTTTTATTAATGGGTATAAATAATTTTAATTTAAATTTTTTTTGGTCCAAATTTTTTTTTTTTTTTTTTAAATTAGATAAAAAATTATTAATTTTCTATTGATCGAATTATTATTATTATTATTATTATTATTAATTATTAATTTTAAATTATTTATTGACATAATCGTTTGACATTTACGTTAAATACATACGGGGGAGGGGAGAGGGAGGAGATAAAAGTGAGAGGGGAGGATGAACGAAAAAATTCACCTAAAAAAAAAAAAATTTAAATTATTTCGGTTGTTGTTTGTTTTGGTTGTTGTGTGTACGCGTAAAAAAAAATTATTAATTAATTCGAATAAACAATCTTCTGCTATCATTTAACAATGACGATAATAATAATAATAATAATAATAATTAAATTTAAAAAAAACGCGGAATTTTTTTGTTTGTTTCTTAATCTACAATCAACATGAAGAATATAATAATAATAATAAAAAAAAAAAAAAAGAAATTTCTAGCAAAGATTATTTTTAAAAAAAAAAATAATCTAAAAATTGATTATTTAATAACATTTATTTTTTAATAAATAAATAAATAATTCCTTGCTAGAATTTTCTATACATATAAAAAAAAAATTATTAATTATGGCTCAGACATATTTTTTTTTTAACATTAATTAATTAATAACTATAATTATTGTTTATTTTATAATTTGAGCGAAAGTTTATGTGTTGAAATAATTTATTAATATTATTATTATTTAAAAATCTAAATCTAAATTGTGCAAATAAATGACACACAAATCATTTGAGATAAAATTTTTTTTATATAAAACTATAAAAATAATGTTGAAAAGGTTTAGACAGACATGTTTGTTTGTTTGTTTGTTTGGTTCTTCTACCTTTTTTTTTTTATGTAATTTAAATAAGTTTTTTTTCAGTGGTGGAAATAAGAGGTTTAGAGGGTTGTTGTTGTTGTTGTTGTTGTTTTGTGTTTAATTATTTGCTATTTGAACGATGGCTTGTACCAGGTTGCTTGGTAGGACTCGATTGATAAGAATTTGTGCTCATCATCAAGCAACTTGGTAAAGCCGGACCTAATTTACTTCGAAGGAATCCATATTTTGTATGCATATTTTGTAATTGAACTCTTAAACAATCAGTCAATTCTTTTTGAAGTTGTTGAATTTCCGTTATGTCACTTCGTAATTGTTCGTAATCGTCTTTTACCTTACGTACAACAAAAAAAAATGAATAATAATAATAATGTTTTACTCAAATGTTTTTTACTTATATTTAGTTAGTGAAAATACCTGCGTAACGTCTTGTAATAAATTAAGAACGTAATTTTCTTGTTCTGATTCTTCAAATTGTGTTGATTCATCAACTAAACTTGCTTCCGATACTGCTCTTTCCCATTTTTCAACTTTCCATGAAAGATTTTCCAATTTTTTATCCGTGTTTGCAACCTAAAATTAATTGTAATTAATTAATCCGTTACAAAATAATGTAAACGATCTCGTGTGTGTGTGTGCGTGTGCGTGTGCGTGTGCGATAGTGTTTATGAGGTAGAAAATTAAGATATTAACATTGAAATAACATAAAAAAAATGTAATAATTAGTCAATATCATAAATCTTATAAAAATTTATTGACTTGCGCGGGGGAAAATTTTTTTTTATGGAGAAAAACAAGTAAATAAAAAATTTTTTTTTTAAAATAATGATTTAATTAACAAAACTTACCGTTTCTTCAAGATAAGAAACTTTATTTTCCATTTCTTGTTTAATGTTATATTGATTTTTTTTTAAAACGTAATTTGTCGTAAGGTTAAAAATATTTTTAAAAAAAGAAATTTTTTTTTTTTTCGTCTCGTTCGTCACTTAACGATCCATTTTTGTAAAGAAAAAAAAATTAATTTTTTTTTACAAAAAAAAAAAAAAGTTTTGAAACAATTTCAAAACATCGCGGAAAAAGTGCGTCGTGACATATAATCAAAACATGGTTTCCGTTCTAGTTCTAAAGTAATATAGAATGAATGAAATATCTAAAAATGGTATTTAAATTAAATTTAATTATTTGATTATACAATCGGATATGAAAATAATTAACTTTTACGTGTTAATATTAATATAATATATGTTTTAATTTTTTTTTATTTAAATAAATTCTTTGTTTTGACATGATAACGTGGGCGTTTCATTTTCTTAACTCTAACTAAGTTTTTTTATTTATTTTAAAAATTATTGAAATTTTTTTTTTAATATTAGTCATTAATTGCATAATTACTTACATTTTTAATTTTCACAATTACTCACTTTTAACATTTTTTTTTTAAACGTTTATTTGTTGCCGTGTAATAAACCAGACATTTGACTAATCAATTTTTTCCAATCAATAATATTTTTACCTCTTTCTATTGGGAGAAAACTTTAATGATTATTAATTATTTTGATTTTTCATTTTATATATAATTAAAATATAAGTTGCTTTAAAAAAAAAAAATTTATACATTTTTGTTTAAATTAATCTTTATTTGTTGGGTTTTACCTTTATTAATTGTGTAACGATATGACGTAATGGAAATTAAATTGCCTAAACGCATTAAAATTTGTACGAAAAAATTTTTAATAAATTGATCAAATATTAAATTTCTTTAAAGGTATAATAAATTCTTTTTAAAATATTTTTAGACTGTGGTACAAGTTCCCCTTCATCCCTTGAAACAGGATATTCGGTTTGTGCTGGTTGTCTCAACTCGGTTGATGATGAAGAATTTATTCATGCTTTGGATCAAGATTGGCATTTAGAATGTTTTCGATGTTCGGCATGTGATGCAGCTTTGTCCAATTGGTATTTCGAGAAAGATGGTTTATTATTTTGTAAGGAAGATTATTGGTCAAAGTATGGAGAATGCTGTCAAGACTGTGGTCAAGTAAGTTAATTGATTTTATTTTTTATAAAAGTGATTCGTACAAATAAATAAAAAAATAGTGCGTGATAAAAAAATTTAAATTTTAGGTTATAACAGGTCCTGTAATGGTGGCCGGAGATCATAAATTTCATCCAGAATGTTTTTGCTGCTCGAGTTGTAGTAATTTTATCGGAGATGGGGAATCTTATGCATTGGTCGAAAGATCTAAATTATATTGGTAAGTTTATTTAAATTAAAAATAATAATAATGTCTTAAATTTATTTTTAATTAATTAATTAATTAATTTTTTTTTTCAGCGGAGTTTGTTACAAAAGGCAAATGCAACCTCTTAATAAAAATTCCCTTTCAACCTTCAATAAAAAACCGCATTCGATTAGGCTTGTCGAAATACCCCCCATGGCCGATGGAATCAAATTAACAATTGAACCAAATAGAGGAGTTCAAGTATCAAATGAACGTTATTGCAGTGGCCTTCGAATTACAGAGTAAGACATTAATTTAATTTTACAACAATTTTAATAATGGATACAATAAAAAAAAAAAAAATTTTTTTTGTTTAGTTTTTAAAAGAAAAATGTTAGTTTTATCTAGATTTACTATCCCTTTTGCTGTCCCTGCATTATATATTATTTAATAATATTTCAGTTAAAAAATTATTAATAAAGGGTTTGAAACGAAAAAAAAAAAAAAAAAATTGTACACTCGAAGGATGCCTATTTTTTATTTTAGGTATCTTGGCACAGTTCATAATAAATTTATAAAAGTTATGGAATCGTTGTTGAATGCTGCTGTTTCTTTATGTGTGAATTTGCCGTTTTTTAATAGGTACCAGTAAAAAAAAATATGATGCTTGTTTGCTCTTGAAATGCAATTTTTATTTGTTTTTCTTTTTTTTTTTCTTTTTTTGTTTTTTTTGTTTTTGTACTTTTCGACATGTGATGAATGAAATTTTTTATTACACTTTTTTAGCCTGTATTTTTTTGATGCTGTTGTTTTTTTTTTGGATTGCATTTTTTTTATTATTATTAAAAATTTTGCACTTACATTCAAGTATAATTTTATTAATAATAATAATGATATTTTTAATTAATATTTTATTTATTTCAGTTTGGATGTTACCAGTGATATTATGTCATTACACATTGGCGATACAATATTAGAAGTTAATGGAACGCCTGTTAGAGATCAACCATTAGAAAATATTGAAAATATAATTAAATATTCAGACACTGTTGTGCAATTGACGATAGAGCATGATCCGGAAGCAAATACAAGACTGAAACATGCTCTTCCTTTAACAAATTTAAGAGTAAGAATTTTCCTCCATGGAGTATCAGTCGACGCTTGTTTTTTTTTTTTTTTTAAATAGCACGTTTATTTTTATTTCAGGATAAGGAAAGCAAAGAAAGACTATACAGAAGGCGAGATGAAGGTTATATTTCTGGAACACGAAGCAGACAACTTCGAAGAGGTCGTAACGGTTGTGCAAAAGAGAGAAGCAGTTCAACGAGTCGTTTGCTCGAAGGGTAAATATTGCTTTTACAATGGACAAACGATTCGAATGAGTAGATTTAACAATGAAGAACAAAAAAATTTTTTGTTTTAGGTCCCCTCCATCGGTGCGTGAACCTTGCGAATTGTCCAGAACGCAATCGTTCAGGGTAGAACCGAAATCTCAAAGAATATTTCGCGCATCGGATCTTGTCAAAGGTGAGCTTTTGGGTAAGGGATTTTTTGGTCAAGTGTACAAAGTTACTCATAGAGAGACTGGAGAAGTTATGGTACTTAAAGAATTGTACAGGGTCGACGACGAAGCTCAAAAAAATTTTTTAAAAGAAGTGAGTGTGCGCCATTTTATAAATGAAAATCAAAGTCCATGATGGGAAAACGATGGGAAAATTTTTTTAATCAATTATTCGATTTTCAAACACAGGTGGCGGTTTTAAGGAGTTTGCATCATTGTAACGTTCTTAGATTTATCGGAGTCCTTTGCAAAGACAAAAAATTGCATTTAGTCACCGAGTTTATCAGCGGAGGAACATTAAAAGATTTAATACATGACATGAACGAGCCTTTACCGTGGGAACAAAGAGTGAATTTTGCTAAAAACATTGCGTCGGGTATGAGTTATTTGCATGCTAGAAATATTATTCACAGAGATCTCAATTCGCATAATTGTTTAGTCAGAGAGGTCGGTATTATTATTATTATTATTATTATTATTACTACTTTGGTAAACAGTTTCATAGTAACGCAAATCCCGTTTTTTTTGTAGGATAAAACAGTTGTTGTGGCTGATTTTGGTTTGGCTAGAATAGTTTCGCAAAATACCGGCTCGTTGTCTAATGACAAGAAAAAATATGGGAGCAATAACAATAATAATAATAATAATAATAATAACAACAGTAGCAAAAGGGGTTCAAAAAGGTGCGAACGTAAAAAACGTTACACGGTCGTGGGTAATCCATATTGGATGGCACCGGAAATGATGAAAGGTTATAAATACGATGAAAAAGTTGACATTTTTTCATTCGGGATAGTTTTGTGCGAGGTAAACCTTTTTTTTTTTTTTCCCTAAAATTCCCAAAATGAAAAGTAATAATAATAATAATAATAAGTGTGGAATTAAAATGAAATTTCAGATAATAGGAAGAGTTCAAGCGGATCCCGATTATTTGCCCAGGAGTAAAGATTTCGGTCTTAATCAAAGCGTTTTCCGGGAAAAATTTTGCACGAATTGCCCGGAAAGTTTTTACCGTTTGGCTTTTTTGTGTTGCGATTTAAATCCGGATCAACGTCCCCCCTTCGAAGTCATGGAAGTTTGGTTGGAAGGTTTATCGATGCATTTATCCGTCGGAATTCCGTTACCACACGATTTAGAATACGATATTTACAATTACTCAGGTAAAAGATTTGAAAATTACAAAAAAAAAAAACCCTCCCCTCCCCCTCCCCCTCCGCCCCCCCCAGAAAAGTAAAGAAAAGTTTTTTAATTTTCTTTTTTTTTTTTTTTTTTTTCCCCAAAAAAACAGGGAAAAGTCCTAGTTCTTCGGAATCTACCACGCCGGAAGTATCGATTTCTTCTTTAGTTCCTCCTTTGCAACCTATCGAAGAGGGTAAAACGGTTGTCAAACCTGATGAACCTGATGATTCGACAACAGCAATTGAAACAACAGCTTTATAAACCCAAGGTTAAATGAAAGGCAAGGAAATTTACCACTATTATTATTATTATTATCACTTTTTTCCTTCTTATTCTGTACGCGTTTATTTACTATTATTATTATTAATATTTTTTTCTCCAAATTTTGGTGGACAAAAGCAGTAGACATCGTTTTTAGACACGATAATAATAATAATGAAATATTTAAGAAAAAAAAAAATTTTTTTTTATTAACGCTTTTGAAATTTAGCAGACAATCATTTTTGAATTTTCTTGCATTTTTTGTTTTTTTTTTTTTTGACGAGCCAAAGGACTGTTGCTGACACGTTTTAGATTAGAAAATTAATTATTATATGCATTCCAGAAAACGAATTGTGATTGATTGATTGATTGATTGATTAGTCGTTAGATGTGATTGAAAGTAATAAGAAAAAAATATTCCATTTTATTATTTTTTCGTTTAAGTAAAAAAAAAAAAAAAAAAAAAAAAAATTGGCAATGAAGGACCAAACTGAACCGACGGGACTGGCTTTTGCATTTATTATTATTATTATTATTATTATTATTATTATTATTATTATTACGTATTTATTTTTCTTTTTTAATTAACGACACGTCTCTCTCTCTCTCTCTCTCTCTTTCTCTCTCTGTCTCTTAAATAACCGTCACTTTAAAAATGTTACCTTTTTTTTTTGATTATTTTCGCACGGTGCCCTCCCCCCCCACCTTGTGCCTCACCCTCCCGTGTTGTCGGATTGCATGCGTGTTTGTCGTGCAAAGTGCCATAAATAAATAATAATAATGCGTTGCAAAAAGTAAAAAAAATTCATTCTCAAACGCATAAAACAAACAAAAAAAAAAAAAGAAAAAAAAAAAAATTGATTTTTTGTACAAATAATAAAATAAGTTTTAAAACAACTTAAATAAAAAGAAAGACTGTGATCTGCCGGTAGTTAACTCACAAATTTATATTATTATTATTATTATTATTATTATTAATATTATTATTATTAGATTGTAATTTAATAAAAATGTATTGAAATGCGAGGGAAATTGTAAGGAAGAAAGAAATAAAGAAAAAATTTAAAATTTTTATAAGTAACCAACCCCTTTAATAGAAAAATAAAATAACCAAAATTATTATTATTATTATTATTATCATTATCATTATTATTATTTTATTTTTTCTTAAATTTATTTTAAAGCCAAAATTAAAATTATTTACATGCATACATAGATATATTTATATATATATATATATATATAAATAATTTGTAAATAAAATTTTATTTTTTTAATAACAAACATCAAGTCACACTTTTATTATTATTATTATTATTATTTAAGATTGGAAGAAAATAAGAGAAAAATTTATTTATTTATTTATTTATTATTATTATTATTATTTTTGTCTACGCACTAATACGCGCACTTACGCTCACGCACGCACAAACTCATTTAAGGGTAATCAATAAATTAATTAAAACTAATAAAAAACTTAATAAATGAAAATGAAAATCGTGATTTTTATATACACGTGTGCGTGTGATTTTTAAAATTAGGTACACACGTGTAAAAGTGCGTATTTATATTTATTATTATTATTATTATTATTAAATTTTTTTATATCGAAACGATTGCGGCTCTGATATATAAAATGAATGGAGAAAAAATTTATGGTTGTGAAAGAAAGAAAGGTTTTTTTTTTTTTTTTTTACGTTTATTATTTAATTAATTAATTATTTTTCTCATTTATTTATTTTATTAATAATTTAAATAACCGATTTATTAAATAAGTAATGATGATGATGATGATAATGATAATAATGTTTGATGTACTTAAATTTTTTTTTTTTTTTTTGAAATTACATGCGTGTAAATTCACGTTTGGAGTGTGTGTAAATTACGTCGTATTCAGGTATCGACTTGCGTTGACTTATTATTATTATTATTATTATTATTACTAGGGATTTATTAATATTATTATTATTATTATTATTATTATTATTATTATTATTCCCATTGTGTAATGAGAGATGATGATGATGATGTAAGACAATAAAATTATTGTAACAATAAAAAAAAAAAAATGGAGCGAAGACTGATTGAATTTTTTTTTTTCGTTTGTTTGTTGTTTGTTTGCCTCCCACTCACCACCCATCGACCCCCCCCCCCTTTATCTCTCTCTCGAAACTTGTGGTTTTTTCTCACGTTGTTTTATTATTAATAATAATAATATTAATATGCTTAAACTGTGATTTAAAAAAAAAAAAATAATAATAATCTCACTTAAAAAAAAAAAAAAAAAAAAAATCGTGTTTGTTTTTATATTGTTTCGATGTTTATTATTATTATTATTATTTAAAAGGTAACTAATTAATTGTGAAAAAAAAAATAATAATAATACTAAATTAAAAGAAATTATTATTATTATTACGTTTAATAATATTAAATTGAATTCCGGTCGAAAATTTATAATCATTCCTTATAATTCTTTACAATTTTTTTTCCTTTTTTTTTTTTTTTTGAATTGCTGTAGATTGAAACACGTTTATTATTTGTTTACCCGCCATTATCATTATTATTATTATTATTATAAAAATAAATTAATTTAATTAAATTTTCGTTTTTTCTCGTTTTTTTCCTCATTAACTTTATGGATTTTATCATTGGAAAATATAAAAAAAAAAATCCGGAATTTACTTGGTTTTAATAATTTATTTTTATTTTTTTCTTACAGATATTACATTATTATTATTATTATTATTATTATTATTATTATTATTATTATTATTTATACTATTACTATTATTATTATTATTATAATTACATTGTGGAAACATTAAAAAAAAAAAAAAAACAATTTAGGAATGTAAGACGATTTTTTGTTGAGATTGAAAATCCGATTAAAAATAACGTAAATTAGCAACTCGGATAATGATTAATAAATAATAAAAAAATTACGAATGTAAAATGGCGTCGTAGGCTTGATAAATTACCGATGCGACTTCTACTGCTTTTGACTTGAGTGAGAGCTGGAAAATGAAATAATATTAAATTTTTTTTTATTTTAGATAAAGTGTGAGAGAAAGAGAGAGAGAATGGACGACATATTTATTTACCGTAACGTTCGGATTTCCAGGTTGCATTTTTAATTCGTTCAATACCCAAATTTGATTGACGAGTTTTAACGATTGATACAACATGTCTTGTCCTTCGACGTTTCTTTTTGCTATCGTGAACACGTTATTTTGTTTCATCTTGTTTATTATGGCGTCTTTTCAACATGAAAACAAATAATAAAAAAAAGCCGATTGGGATTAAAACAAAACGTGAAAAATCATTTTTCTTATATTTTATTATTCACCTGCATTCAATGTTATGTTAGAAAGAGTGAATTGAACTTCATTTTGCGACGGTATATCTTTCCAAGTGCTTAAAAACACTCGTTTGTCCATTTCGCCATCTTCCATGAAAAACACGTTGACGGGAATCAAACAAGCAAAATAAAATACGTCAATGTTGTTTTTTATGGCGACCTGTAAAAAAAAAAAAAATTAAAGGAAAAATTTATCCTGGACGCGGATGTTCCCGAGAGTTTGAAACCTTTAAGAAAGAATTTACCTGCAAATTATTAAGTGGATCCATTCTTTGCACTACTCCGCTCGTGTTTAAAGGAACGCTCGTTTCGAAAGTTTGTCCCGGTGGGAGAGGAGTCACCACTTGAAGGGGTTTGGCGGGAGCAACTCCGAAACTGTTTTTGTTCAACTGTATCGCAAATTCGGCCATGGCTTGCATGGCTTTGTTTGTTATCGTGAAATCCATTTGCACTTGCCCGTTTCTCCTGCTGAATGTTCCCCATATTTCCAATCCTTTTCCTCTTTCGGCTGGCAACCATTGTACTTTGGGTGCTACGTAAAACGTAGGAGTTGACAAACCAAATATGTCGCCAAGTAAGACGGCCGTGTTGGGTGCCGGTGCCGTATCTCCTCCGAGCTAAAACGTAAACTTTTAATAAACATCTCTGTGTCGATTTTTTTTTCAGGCATCAAGATAATTGTTAAGAAAAAGAAAAGGTTTTATTTACCAAACCGTCCAGACCACCACCAAGGAGATCAATCGCTGATGTTTGTGGCGCAGACGAAGGAACCGGAGCGGGAGCTCCAAGATCCATACTTAGAAGATCACCAATTAGAGAATCTTGAGCTGGAATGACAGATGGTTGCACCACGTGCTGTCCTTCGTCACCACCGCCTTCGCTCCTGCATTTATAATATAAAATGATTGATTAATTACTAAATATTTTTTTCCAGGTCCCGGAAACGGAAACAAATACCTCATCGGTAGAGTGCGTTTAAGACCGGCACGACCCTCTACAAAAGCAGTTGGTGGTTTGTGATAGACGCTAGCCAAAGAGCTAATATGACAAATGAGTTCATCCAATAAAGTCGGTTCCAATAAATCTGTTTCTTCCGATATGAGAGGTTTTTCGGCCAAAACGACTTCTTTGGCTGCTGCAGGATCGGTCGATAATAAACGCCAGTAAATAAAACCACGATCGCGAAGGTCAGGATTGTCAGAATCTTGAGTCGCTAAACTCAATACCTGAAAACATTCAAATTTAAATTTTTTTTTTTTTTTCAGGTTTTAAACATTGCAGAAAATTATTAATTTAATCTAACCTGTTGAACTAGCTCTTGCGTGTCGGTTGGACGTTTTAAAAACAATTTAACAATGGCCGTCAGCAATTGTAATTGAACTTGAGTATTTTCATCGTGAAAACCTTCGAGAAAACTTTCCAGCAATTCGTCTGCATTGTCAATTCTTTCCGCGTATTCTCCGATTATCCATATCATAGATGCTCTGTCACAAAATAAATATGTTAAGTACTTTTTAAAACAAAAATTATCGTTCGAAAAGGAAAAAAAAAAAAACGATTGATTTGGTCACCTCGCTTCAGGTTCATCCAGAGTGTCTAAATTTTCACATAAAGTTGAGATTATGCTTTCATATTTGTTCGGGTATTTCCTGAAAATATCTTTTATGACGACGATGGCTTCTTGCACAACGTAATTTACTTTGGTTTGTATTAAATCAAGCAATGTTGAAACGCATCTTTCAGCGCTTTGCTCAACTTTAATTGCACATCTACCAATGGCTCTCACTGCTTTTCTAACAAAATCTACGTCAACTTCTGTGGCGTACCTGTAAGTTAAATTTTTTTTGTTTTTAAAATTTAATAATTTTTATTTAAAAAGCAGATAGAGCGTGACATTAAACAACTTACTCTTTTAATTCTGATAAAACTTGGGCAATATTCCCCTGAGAAGCTAAACGAATCATAATATCAAGTTTTTCAAGTTTAACATAAATAGGATCATTGTACTTGACGAAAAAAACTTTCATTTCATGTTTTAATATGTCTGGTCTCTTTTGAACAATCAAGTTTATGTTTCTTAAAGCAACATATTGAACCTGAAAATAATTTTACTTGTAAAGTAGTACATCAATGGTATAAACAGTTTGAAATTACAAAATTATTAAAATCTTACTTCAGGTTCAGAGGATAACAATGTTACAAGAGGTGGTGCTAATTTTTTCGTTAGAGTTGTGACAAAATCCGATTCAGATGATAACATTTCCATTAATTTCATTAAAACTTTTACTGCAGATAAAACGACAGCAGCATTCGCATGCGCTAATCGAGGTGTTATTCTTTCGCAAATGCTACAAAATTCGAAAAGTAATCAATGATGAATTATGAAAACTATAAGAATAGTTATAACTATTAATTTATACCTTTGAGCTTCTCTATCATCTTTTGGACTGTAATTAGACAAAGAATCCAATATAAATACTTGACCCCATTCAGTGCATTCATTAAGAGCGGTTAACAATTTGCTGATTGTAGGACCATTTAATTCGACAAGAGGAAGTCCACTGGGAGTTGATTCATTAATTTCAGATAAAGCAGCAACAGCATTAGCTACAACCTGTAAAATAGATCAGTAAATTATTTAAGCTTAGGTTAAATAAAAAAATCTCTTTCGAATGTAAGAATTATTCGCTTACCATTGGATTAGAATCAGATAAAAGATCTTTGAGTTGATCTAAAAATCCTTGATCTTCTACGAGTTGTGCATTAATATCGTAAAGTTTAGCAACACAAACAGCAGCTGTTTTTCTAACATAAGGATCTTCATCTTTTAAACATTTCCTTAGAGGCTCACAAAGGTACTCGGTTATTTTGTCAACTCTAATACATCCCATAGTTCTTACAGCTAAAGCTCTAATTAAAGGATTGGGATCTTCACAATCCTGTGGGAAAATAAAATTTATCTTTTTTTCACGAGTTCAAATTTAAATTCGCATGTATTAATAAGAAAATGTACCTTAACAAATGTGTTAACTGCCATAATTGCCATATCTGGTTGACTTTTGGCATAATTCATTAAATACAAGTAGACGAGTTTTTTCAATTCCAAATTATCAGTTTGCATACAATTAACTACGTCTGGAAATAAAGCCGAGACATCTTTACCAACCGTCATTGAAGCAATAACCTTTTTAACGGCTTCTTTCTTTTTTTCTTTTTTATCGCAATTTAGTTCGGCTTTCAATTCGAAAATTTCACCCTTTTTAGTGGTTGTAAAATACTTTGAATCCGTCATTTTGAAACTATATATAAATCTAAAAAAAAATTAAGCTACCGTAATTAGCAAGTGAAAGAAAAATTAAAAATGTATTTTTATAATCTAAAATTAAATTAGTAATTATTTAAAAATTAATTTATTAAAGGGTCGATAGTTTTTGAAATTGGGGTTAGGTTTCATATTAAAGGGGAGTGTCAAAATTTTATATACAAATAATTTAAAATTAAAAAAAAAAAAAAAAGAAATTTACTTTTTATACTTTATCGAATTATGAGTTTGGCAGATTTACAATCGAAAAAAAAAAAAAAATTGCACTATTTCCTTTAAAAAAAAATTTTTTCTTTTGACAACTCACGATTAAAAAAAAAATCCTTACCGATAACAACTTGCAAGCCTAGAGTAGTTGTTGAAACGAATCGAAACAAACGACCGAAACGGAAGTTTCTAAAATTTCGCTATAAAATAACATTTTAAAAAACCCATATATATATAAATTTTTTTACTCTATGATATTTTTTTATCTGCAAACGTTTAAATTCGAGCTTGATTATATTTATAATGGATAAAATTGGAAAATGAAAAAAAAAAAAATTAAAAATTCGATTAAAAAGGGAAAATTTTATTTTTTTATTAATTATTATTATTATTATTTATTATTTTACGGCATAAAAAATAATAATTTACAAACTTATTTATAATATTCAATTAATAAAACCCAAATTTAACAATTTTTTTTTTTTATTTAGAATTTTCAGGTTTTTGTTTATTTTTTTTTTTTTTTTTACAGTCTCTTAAAGTTCTTCTGCTACAAATTATTATTATTAAATTAAATCAGTAATCAAATTTGTTTTGCATAATAACAACAGGCAGTCACTCTTCACTAAAAAACTTTTTAAAACAAAAATCAAAAGTCATGATAATAATAATAATGAATGATTTAAACAGTTTAATTAAAATAAATAAAATGAAGGATCTTTATTAAGAGAAAATCCCTTTTATTTTTCTTACTTAAACGATTACTTAGTTTATAAGTAATTAAATAAAAATAATAATAATAATAATACAAAACAATAAATAAATAAAATAAATTTTTTAAGTTTTAATAAATTCCAAAACTCACCCTGGGAAAAATCACCAAAAAAATTCCCCCCCCCTTCTTTTCTTATTTTATAATTATTCTATAGATAAAAAAAAATATTCTTCGGTCGTTATTAATTTGAAAATTTTATTTATTTTTTTATTTATTTATTGGGCTAAAAAATTCCAAACACGAATTATATGGTTAAAATAAAGTTTTGTGACTTTAATCTTCTTTTCATTCATTCGTGTCAGCGAATTTTCTTTTTTTTTAATCTAAGGTTCAAAGAGATTGTAGGATTTAAAAATAATAATAATAATAATAATTACACATCTTTCCATTCACTCTTTGTTATTATTATTATTATTATTATTATATTGTTTTTATTAATTTTTCTTCTACGATTTTATTTTATTTTTTTTCGTTCGAGACTTTCAATTTAGGATTTTAGATTTATCCAATTAACATTTTTTTGTTTTTTGATATCAATTTGGACTGATAGTAAATTGTGGGTGGATGCAATAATAATAATAATAATAATAATAAAAAGTTAAAACAATTTGAAAAAATAATTATATTTATAAGATTTCATTATTTTTATTTAAAAAAATATTTGTTATTACTAAAAGTTAAAAAATAAAAGAACAAAAAATGGTCGAAAGTTAAAAAGGGAAAAATAATAGAAAAGGAAAAAAGAAAGGAAAAGAAAATATTCGAGAGCTTTCATTACGCAATTCAAAAAAAAAAATAAATAAATAAATAAATAAATATACACAACTTCTTCACCATTTTTTTTAAAAAGCAGAAAACTTCAATTTTAAATTTACAAAAAAAAAAAATAAAAGAAAAAATAAAAGAAAATAAAAACAAAGAAAAAAGTAAAAAAAAAAAAAAAAGAAAAGAAAATTTTCTTTTTTTTTCTTTTCTTTCTTTTCTTCTCCAGAGAAGAGAATTGAAAAGAAAAAAAAAGAAAAAAATGAAAAAAAAAAAAAGTTAAAATTTTTTTTATTTTATTTTTCCCCATTTAAAATAGACCATTTTATTGACCAACCAAAAAAAAAATAATATTCACGCCTTTCGACCAATGAGAAACGAGTATTTTAATAAGACCTCTCCCTACTTGTTTTAACATAGCGTGTCGGAATGGTAGATCTCCCTTTTAAGCGTGACCTTGTATTACGAGTTTAAGAGCGCAAGCTTTTCCACGATAGGAGAAAATTATTAACCAATCAAAATCGTTTATTTAAATCACGTGGTTTTTATACAAGGAAAAGCGCAAGACTCGCTCTCTATGTGTTATTGAAACAGTTCATCGGTAAACCGTTGTGCGAACGAAACGGGTGGCGGGTACAAATTTTGTGAATGTTTTTTTTTTTTAGTTAGAATTTTCTTTTTTTTTTTTTTTTTGGTTTATTATTTTTAATTTTTGATTATTATTATTATTAATATTTCTCGTTTTTATTTGTCGTAAAAAAAAAAAAAAATTTTGGTGTTTAATATTGTTTAAAAAAAATCGAATGTAACTGTCGGTCGGAGGAAGTCGTTGTTTAATCCGATAAAAGCTCATCTTCTTCCGGTTTGGTTTATTTTTCACAAATGTTCGCCGTCGGTGATTGATTGATTGATCGATTGATTATTTATTTTTCCGCGTTTTTTTTTGTTGCAATCATTCGAATGTTGACAAAATTAACATGAGATAAAGAAATTAATAAAAAAACAAAAAAATTAAATACAAAGTCGATTTTTACGACGTTTCGAACGACGAGTGTGAATAAAAAAAAAAAGAAAAGAAGAAGAAGAAGAAAAAAATTAAATTTACATATAGATAATTAAAGTGAAAAAATAATTATTAATAATAATAATAATAATAATAGTAATACAAAAAAAAAAGTAAGGAAAAGGTGAAGGAGAGAAGGTTACAAAAAGAAAATCACGACGACACTCGGAGATCATTTACGGCTCCGGACGGGGCTTGCCCTGTTCCTCGGAGGGAACGGCGGGGCAGAGCCCGGGGCCCCAAACACGAGGCCCGACGATCTGGCTAATTACGGGCTGCAGCCTCTCGCATTGAGGCCTCACCAGCCCCTGTTGGTTCATGGTGGGTGTTGTGCGCCCCTTCCGGTTACCACCTCGCAAAACATAGGTTGGTATTTTTTGATTTTCTTACTTCCTTTTTTCTTTCCTTCGGATCGGTCGTTGGTGTTCATTTCGTAACGCCTAACATTCCGTGATGTACTAGAATGAATTCGAAATTTCACTTCTCTGAGATTATTTCGAGAAAAAACAAAAGAAAAACAAGAATTTTCCACAACTTCCTGTTTTTGTAACGCGGAAAGATTTTTAAGGAGAAGAAAAAAAATTATCGGAAAACTTTTTTTTGAATTATTTTATTTTTAAAAATCCGGATAAAGACGATTAAAGTTCTATGCTTTAACCGCCATGTTTTACCGACGGATAAAATAATAATAATAATAATAATTAAAAGACAATAAAATCCAACAGGAAAATTGATTTTCGTTTTTTTATATTAAAAAACAAAAGGAAACGATTTAATATTTAATTATTCGTTTTAAATTTTCAAAAAAAAATTTTCCACTTTGAAAATTTCTAGAATAAAAAAAAAAGAAGAATAAATACCTTTTTTTTTTGGAAAAATTTTTTTCCTAAAAGGTTTTCCCTTGTCGGTAATAAATTTAAAAAATTTTTGACACGACGGCGGGAGAAAGAACGAATGAATTTCCAGCGCCGGGAAAAAAAGAAAAAAAATTTTCTTTTTTTTTTTTAATTTTCAAATCGTAATAAACGTTACTTATTTATTTATTTATCCGCTTGAGTTTTTTTTTTTACTTTCTTTAAATTAATGATAATAATATGTAATAATAATAATAATAATAATAACGTTGAGAATTATAAATCGAATAAAGATTGGAAAAGCAAAATTTGAACAAATAACAACGACAGGAAAAGTGGAAAATTTTAATTTTTCAAATTTCGTAACCGGAAAAAATTGCGTCGGTTTAAAATTTAAAAAATAAAAACAAACAAAAAAGCAGAAGACGGAAAATGGAACGATTAATAATTGTTAATCGATGTTTAAAAAAAAAAAAAATTTGATCGATGAAGTCAAAAAAAAAAAAAAAAAATAGTTAAAAATAAGTGAAAAAAGAAAAGAAAGGAAAAAAAAGGTTTCCATTTTGAAAATTTTTCTCGTAATTGCTGTAATAATAATAATAGTAATGATGACGATGATAAGAAAAGAAAAGAAAATTTTTTTTTGGGAAAAACTTTGTGAATTACTATAATTACACATTTAAGACTTAAAAAAAAAATTAATGATAATAATTTAACGAGTTATATTTTCTTTTTTGGCTCGGAAAATGTCGGAATTTTATTTTTTTCTCCTCCCTTATTAATGGGGGGATGTGTGAAATTATTTTCGATATGATCCCCAAAAAAAAACGTATGATTATTTTTATTTTCAAATTTTTTTTGTATTTTTGGAGAAAAAAATTATTTTTTTTCCTGGAACGGGAAAAGTTAGAAAAAGCGTCGGGAAAAGGAGGGAAAAAGGGGGTAGAAAAAAAAAGAAAATTTTCGTTTTTTTTTCTTTTTTAAATTAAAAAAAAAAAAAATTTTTTTTTTTTTGAGGGGATCCTTAAAAAAAAAAAGTTTTTTTTTTTCCGTTCCAGGGAAATTCAATTTTCCCTTTTTTCTTTTTTTCCCAATCGTGCGACGGCGGATAATAAATTTTTTCTTTTTTTTTTTACTTATCAAATCGAAGGCTCCCCGACCCATAAATCTTTTTATTTAAACATAATTTATATTTTTGTGGGGAGGTCAGAACAAAAAAAAGAATTTCGTTCTGTAATTCCAAATTTAATTAATTGATTTTTTTACTTTTTTTTTTTTCGTTATAAAGGATTTATTAAAATTATAATTATCATTATCATTATCATCATCATCATCATTATTATTATTATTAAACATTAAAATTTTAAGTTTTTTTTTCAGAGAGAAAAACAAAAAAAAAAAGAAAAACGATTCGTTCGATTGATTTTTGTTTGTTTTTATTGTGTTGACGTTTCTTCGATTTTTTTTTCCACGCTTTTTATTATTATTTATTATTTATTAAACAATAATTAAAAAAAAAGTAATAATAATAATAAAATTAATAACTTAATCGTTGTTGTTACATTAACTTATTTTTTATTATTATAATCATTAGAATGATGATGATGATGATTATATATTATCGATTATTAGTTATATAACGAAAAAAAAAAAATACCCAAAGGCTATAGTATTTCACTACGCTCGGTCGCATATTAAAATTTTTTTTTTCGTCGAAATGACCAATCAATAAATTAAGTACTATATTTAATGTCTGGTAATAAAATTAATTATTAAACGGAGAATAAATAATAAATACATAACCGTCATCAATCGATGAATAAATAAATAACTAAATAAAATAAATACATAAAATAAAAAAGCATTAAAAATTAATTTTAGGGTCTTAAAAAGACCCTAAAAAAAATTGATGAAACGTCATCAAATAGAAAAGAAAAGGAAAAGTCATCGAATAATTAATTACGGTAATTTTTTTTTCTTTTTTTTTTTTTATTAAATATGACTCTATGACGGTTGGTTGTTGATAAATCGCGTATAAAAGTTACGAATATTTCGGGGAGAAAAGTTTTACTTAGGGGGGCGAAGGAAAATGATGATCGGAGTCGTCGGTTTAAAAAAATTTCTTTCTGACGGTCTCGGAAATTTTTTTTTTTAACGGAAAGCAAAAGATTTTTTTTTTCTTTTAATTAGTAGAAGAAAGAAAGCAGGTAGACGTCTCGAGAAAGAGAGAGAGTGAGAGAGAGAGAAAATAAAAATAAGGCACAATAATAAAAAAAAAAAAGAAAAAAATCCGACACGAATTACGAAAACATGCCGACCGATCATTGAGTGAGTTACCCGACATGTTTAAGAAATTATTATTATTATTATTATTATTATTATTATTATTATTTCTACTCATGGGAGCGCGATTTAATAAAGAATCAAATGAGTGAGAGAGAGAGAGAGAGAGAGAGAAAAAGAGTCCATTAAAAAAAAAAAAAATGAAATGAGGCCGAAAAATAAGTAGTAGAAGCCATGATTTTTTTTTTAAAATGAGAACCTTGAAAACATCATCACGATTTTAGCATCCTACTACTCCTACCACTACTACCTTCTCCCCAAAAAAATGTTATTATAAATAAATAAAAAAATTTAAGGTTCGAAAATTCTCTCTTTAATATATAAACTCAAAAGGTTTTTTTTTTTTTTTTTGTTTCATTGATTTAAGAAGTTTGTTTTTTTTAAAAAAAATAAAATTTCAGGTTTTTAGCCTTGAAATACCGTACAGGATTTTTAAATGTCACTTTTTTTTTCTCCATACGCTGGAAGCAACAAAAAAAAAAAAAAACTTATGTCTACGTACCTTATGGTGGAAACGTTTTTTGTTCCAAAGTATATTTATTGTCATTAATTTCGTTACGGTGCTACCGAAGATTAAATAAGAAAAAAAAAAAAACTTTTATTTTTTGCTACGATTCACATACGTATTCGGCAAACAAACAAACAAACAAACAACCGGGGGTAGGGTGGGCTGGGGTGGTGGTGAAAGAGAAAATTTCGGGATTAAAAGAACCGCATTGAAATGGATGGAAAAGTCGAAATACAAGTTTTAATTATTCCGATACGATAATCAAAGTTGTAATTATATCGATTCGAGAAAATTCTCGATAAATATTTTCCGCTGGAAAAATATCGTATCGAATCGAATCGAATCGGAGTCTGGTAGCGTTATGAAATGATTAAGATGGTGGTGGTAGTGGTAGGGGTAGTAAGTAGTAAGTAGTAGTAGTACGTAGCAATATTTCTGCCTTCGGGTTATTTAAAGATAAGGTTAAAAATTTTCTACTCCATAGAATAAAACCCGCCTGTCTACCCGCTTGCCCGCTTTCCCCCTGCCCTCCTGCCCCCTGCCCCCCCTGCTCGCCCGCAGACAACCAGGTACGATTTGAACTTGTACACTTTTTTTTAAAGCAAAAACAAGTATTTGATTTTTTTGTAATTTAAATAATGTTTTTTCAGGTCGTTGCAGCGAAGTACCCGGAGGTCTACCGGGTAGTGGAGGCATGTTGCTAGCATGTGCCGGTTGTGACAAACCAATATTAGATAAGTTCCTTCTAAACGTCCTCGACAGAACGTGGCACGCGGAATGTGTGAGATGTCACGATTGCAGAGCGGCATTAGCTGACAAATGTTTTAGTAGAGAAGGAAAACTTTTTTGTAGAAATGATTTTTTTAGGTAAGTAATAAGAACAATTATCATTAAATACCAACTTTCTTCTAGCAAAAAAATTTTTTTTTACACGTTAAAAACAAACAACAAACAAACAAACAAACAAACAGGCTCCCGCAGGGAAAAACCAAAACAAAATTTAAAAAAAAAAAATTAATTTTTTTTCAATCGAATTTTACCTTTTACGTATCGACCTCAATGTAAATATAGGTTTGATAGGTTTGTAACACTTAACCGTAGCAAATACCTTAAATGCGATAATAATAATAATAATAATAATAATAATAATAATAATAAAACTCGAACGTTTTATCAGTAAAAAAAAACTTTAACGGCAGCACGTTTCGCTGAAATTCAAAATTATTATTATTATTATTATTATTATTATTTTCATTATCATTATTATTATTTTCGGTAGAAAAAACAAAACAAAAAAAACGTTTTTCTACTTTTTTTTTTTTTATCGGAAACCTGCGGTAATAATAATAATAATTTCACGTGGTTAAAAAAAAATAATAATGATTTGCGTTTCATTATCGAAAAAAAAAAAAAGGAAAACTGTTTTTTTTTCAGGTACTTAAATACCTTTAATTAACCGGTAAAAAATGATAATGATAATAATAATAATAATAATAATTTTGTGTAAATTTAATCAAACTGTAAATAAATTGGAACCCGTTAAAAAAAAAAAAAAAAATTAACGATTGTTCGGTAATTGATTTTTTAAACGAAATGAAAAAAAAGGAAAATTGCACAAAAAAAAAAGTAAAAAATGAAATGGCCTCGTAATCGAATTCAAAGAAATTCTAAGACGACGACGACGATGATAATGATGATGATAATAATAATAATTAAAAGAGAGTAGTTAACGAAAGATTTAAATAATCGTAAATGAAAAAATAAAGTGACCGTAAAAAATTAAAAAGAAAAATAATAATAATAATAAGATGGTGGTGGTGGTGTCAGGTAGAGTGACCGGTCAACCAATCCCAAATTTATAACTTATTATTATCATTATTATTATATCATTTCGAAAAAAAAAGAGAGTGAAAATGAAAAATTAAAAAAAAAACAGAAACGGAAACGGATATGGACTTGTCATAAGAAAAATCATAAAAGTTTTTCCCTTTCTAGGATGTTAGAGAAAAAAAAAAAAAACTTTCGACGTGGAAATAGAAAAATTAATAATGATCGTTTTTACTTAATGAGATTTTTTCTTATTTGCAATTAAGAAAAATTATCATTATTATTATTATTATTTTTTTTTAAAGCCGGAGGAGAGTAGGTTTCGTTTTTGGGGGGGGGGGAAGATGACGATTTGGCACATCGATATTGTATTTATTATGAATGTCATTATATCTCGAAACGGAAATTGCGATTAAGGAGGGGAATAAGGGGTGGTGGTGGTGGTGGTAATGGGGAACCTGACAAAAGGGGTTTTCCTCCCTCCCTCCTCCCGTTAACAAAAAAAATTTCGTTTTGATCTCTCCATTTAACATTCATCTCTTTTTCTCTTTCTTTCTCTCTATCCTTTTCTTTTCTTTTTCTTTTTACGATCACACGGAAGAAAGGGAACCAAAAAAAAAAAAAAAAAGTATAAATCAAAAAAAAGGGGGGGGGGAAAAGGACGACAAGGAATTTTTTTTTTTACGATGTCTTCACAGTTATATAACACAAGTTTTAGTTTTTTTTTTTTTTGCGGTCAAAATCCATAACGGACCGAACGTGTTCACATTCGGTATTCTTTTGTATTTTTTGAAATTCGAGAGTGGACATAAAAAAAAAAAAAAAAAAAAAAAAAAACATAAACTTCAACAAGGATTTTCAAAGAAGAAATGAAAACAAAAAAAAAAAAGAATGAGCTAGAAAGAGAGAGAGAAAAGAAATAAAACCTGGAAAGAGAGAGAGACCTAAAAAAAAAAAAATTCAGGGTATAATATGGCGAATAAAAATTTTCGGGTTTTGTTTTATGACGGAAGAAACCATGTTTTACAGACCGCAAAAAAAAAAAAAAACGGTTTTGATTTTTTTTAAAGGCGCTTTTTTTTTTTTTTCTAAATTGCAAACCGCAAAGTTTTAACATGGAGCAAAAAAAAAAAAAAATTATTATTTCCAGCAATTTTGTTTTCTATACGTTTTCTATACGTTAGACTTACCAACGCGAGTTTGCAAAAATGAAAATTTTTTCGTATTTTTATTTATAAAAAAACCTTATTTATATATAAGTTAAACATAAATTAATAACGTTAACTTATAATTTTTTTTTTTAATTATTATTTTTCTCTCTTTTTTTATTAATATATATATATTTATGTATACATATATATTAACCATAAAGTAATAAATATCTTAAAATGTTTATTTAACTTTTTAAAAAAAAAATATTATTAAAAAAAAAAATAAAAAGAGAGAGAGAGAGAGAGAGAGAGAGAGAGAGAGAGAGAGAAACCTTTTTAACATTTCTTTAAAAAAATCCTTTTAAAGTTTTTTCTTTTTTTTTTCTCTGAAACCAAAATGAAAACCGTGACGCGTTTTCGTCCGTTTAAATATTTTTTTATAATAATAATAATAATATTTTATACGTTATTATTCGGGGGGGAGGGGGAGATAGAGAGAGAAAGATTTGATGGGGAATGGTTTTAAAAAAAAATTTTCTTTTTTTTTTCCCCGTACAAGTTATCACCGTTGATCGATCGATAAAAATTTTAATAATAATAATAATAAACGTGTTCGTATTCGATTACGTCACATGCGAAAAAAATTTCTATGACGTCATAATTCGGATATTACGGACGATTAATTTCGCGAATATACAGAACTTTGGTTTGTATTTGTTTGTTTGTTTGTTTGTTGTCGTCCTATTTTAACGGTTTACAATTTCTCTTATTATGTTTTATAACAAACAATTGACGCGCGTTTTTTTACATAAAAACGACGACTGGTATTAATAATAATGATGATAATAATGATAATAATAATAACACATCAAAATTTATTTTTTTTTTTAATATTTGATTTGACATCAAACCGAAACCTGATTGTTCGAATTCGTGATTACTTTATTATTATAGAAAATCTTTTCCTTCATTTTTTATCCCCCTCTCCCCTCTTCACTCCCCCTTTTCCCCTCTCCCCGCCTTCTCTGCCATTTTCTTTTCATTTTTTTTCCGTATTGAAATTTTTATTTAAATATTTCAAAATATAATAATGATTTTAAATGTTTAATAAAATATTCGTTGGAATAAAAACCTGAAATTTATTTTAAATAAATAAATAAATAAAACGTACCTGAACTTTTAAACAAATTATTTATTTATTTATTTAAACAAAATATTAAAAAAAAAAAAATTCAAAACTTTTTATTTTATTCAATAAAAAAAAAAAATTTAAGGTTAACGTTTAAAAACAATTTTTTCTCAACGTTGGCGTGTTTATTAGTATTATTATTATTATCATTTAAGGTACGTAGGGATACATTCAAGTTAATCAAGTATAATAAATTTCGTAAATAAAAAAAAAAAATTAATTTACTTTTAATAAAAATAATATATTTTATGCAAAAAAAAAAAAAAATAAATTAATAATGATTAATTACAATAATTATAATTAACATGTTCGATTTATTTATTTATTTATCCATTTATTTATTATTAATTTTATTTAATTAACTAAATAATTTATTATAATTTTGAATGATGATAATGATAATAATAATAATAATAATTTTGATTTTTTCGATTGCGTCGGTTGAGATTTTTTTCTTTTTTTCCGGAAAATTTGTTATGTATGATAACGTGGTACGTACTTTTCAAATAATAATAATAATAATAATACTGATAATGATAATGATAATCGACGTGGTTTTAGAATGGATTTTTTTTTTTTCGAAAAAATTCGTAGGTTCGTAAAGGAAAGAAGTTGGATCGACGGAGGATAATTATTATTCAAACGGATTCCAATAAATTTTTTTTTTTCTAAAGGTTAAAGGTCAAAGTTTAATTGGTATCCGATTTCGAATCTTTTTATTTTTTCGCCACTACTTTAAATCCTACTGAAAATTTAAAAAAAAATTTAACGGAAAATGGCGAGGGAGGGAGCGCAGGGGGAGGGAGAAAAGATTTTAAGGTAAAAATTTTTTCCTTTTTCGTTTATTTTTTTAGAAAAATATTTTGTTAAAAGGAAAATTTTCATTGAATAAATTCCATTTTCAACTATGACCCAATAGCATTCGTAAAAAAAGAAGGAATTTCAAAAAAAAACATGGCGATTTTAAAATAATAATAATAATTTTTAATTGTAAATTTTTTTTTTCTCCGAAAACAAATTTTTTTTTTTTTTTTTTCTAATTCCACGTTTCTATTAAAACCCGATATTTTTAACGAGTGCAAAAATATAAACAATAACCAAAAAAAAAAAAAAAATTGCAATTTTTTTTTCAAGGATGTTAAATACTAAGAATAATAATAATAATAATAAGAAAAATTTGTTTTTTTATTTTTATTTTTATTATTATTATTATTTTCGTTTGAAAAAAAAAAGTCTTAAGTCACGATTCGTGACAAAATCACTCTTGGTGACTCCACCTAATAAAAAAAATTTTTTTTTTTTTTTTGCACAATAATTTCGCATTAATAATAATAATAATAATTTTGCATTTTTCCAAGGTGGTGTTTGCAGAAGACTCGAAGTTGTAATTTACTCTATGAAATTTCACAGAGTAAATAAATCCGTTAAAAATTTCGGATAAATTAAATCCGCGCGAATGATTAAAAAAAAAATGATTTTTTTTTTTTTGTCGTTTGTTTCCAAAGTTGACAAACGACATTTTTTTTTTTTTTTATCAGGTTGTATACGATAATGAAATGACCTTAAAAGTTACATAAAATATTGCGCACGTTTTTCCGGATTGATAAGAAACGAAAAGAAAAAAAAAAAAATCTCACAAACACAAAATAAAACCTCCTGACGTTTTAAAATCGTGTCGGATTAACAAAAAGAAAAAAAAACCTGATAATAATCAAACGTTTAAATGTATATATCAAGGTATGGATCGAAACTCTTTTTTTTTCTTTTTCAAAGGTTGTCAGAACTGATTGTCACTTTTTGACTTTAATAATAAAAAAAAAAAAAATTTATCCGGCTACCATTTCTTCTTCTTTTCTTTTTACATCACGCGGCGTGAAGTGTGTTAAATTTCTTTTTTATTATTATCATTATTATTATTAATGATTTTTTTTTCCTTTTGATAATAATGATAATAAATTTTCTTTCTTTCTATTTTTTCGTTGATAAAATAAAAAAAAAAATCACGAAAAATAAGAATCGAAATTTTTTAAAAATTTTCCGACATTTTTATTTTACAAAAAATTATTTTTTTCGAAACTTTCGAAGTTTACCCCAAAAATAATTTTTTAAAAGGTTTTATCAACCCAAAATTTTTGGGGGGAGGAGGGAGAAAGGGGAGGGATGAATAAAACAAATAATAAGATTAAAAATTATTAAAAATGACGGAAAGTTTTTCGCTTTTTGTTTTTGTAATTTCATCTTTAAAAATATTAATATTAAAAAAAAAATCACGTGATAATTATTATTATTATTTATTTATTTAAAAAATATATCAGAGTAATATTTACGTAATTTATTATTGATAAAAAGAAAAAAAAAATTATAATATTAAATAATTATCCGTGAATAAACGTGAATTTATTTTAAAAAAAAAAAAAATTTTTTTTTTTAAAGTTTTTCCACGGATTTGACTTTTCTTGAGTTTTTTTTCCTTTAAATTTTATTATTATTATTATTATTATTATTATTATTTTAACGACTAGTCTTTAAAGTATTAAATATAAAAAAAAAATGAAGAAGATGAAAAAAAACGTGGCTGGAACGACTTAAAAAAAAAAAAAGAAGAAAATGTTACGGTTGAGAAGATTTAAAAAAAAAAAAAAAAAAAAAATATTCAAAGTAATTTTTATTCATATTGAAAATAATAATTTCAATAATATTATTCTCTCTCTCTCTCTCTCCCTCGACTACTTCATGTTTTTTTTTATTTAATGACAAGAGATCGACAATATTCTATTATTATTATTATTATTATTATTATTACATTTACATGAATATAATTTATTAAAAGCCAAGTCAGTAATTAAATTTTTTTTGTTTTCTTATCCTTTTTTTTTAATTTGGAAAAATTTTTTTTTTTTTTTTTCAGGAGGTATGGTACAAAATGTGGGGGGTGTCTTCAAGGTATATCACCGAGTGATTTAGTACGGAAAGCTCGAGATAAAGTTTTTCATTTAAATTGTTTTACTTGCATGGTGTGCAGAAAACAATTGTCCACAGGTGAAGAATTATACGTTTTAGATGACAACAAATTTATATGTAAAGAAGACTATTTAACAGGGAAAACAAGTTCCGGTAAGTTTACATACTTTTTATTTCCGGTTTTAACAACGATTAACAACAACAACAAAAAAAATTAGATTAACGATTATTCTTTCTTTTGCCACAACGCATAATCAAATCGCGATAAAACATACGGAGGACGAACGCGAGATCGATAATTTTAAATAATAATAATAATAATAATAATACACGAAGGGTAATAAAAAATCATCGATAATAATAATGATAAAATTTTTGATGAGTATTTGATGAATATAAAAATTTACAAAACTGGTCCGTTTGGATTTTATATAAAAAAAAAAAAAAATGACGTCCATCCAGCATCTGTCGCATCATCTTAACAGTTGTGTAGGCTAAATATCCGATGATTCGGATGAATTGTAAAATCATGGGTGCAGCACTCATTTTTTTTTTTTTGTTACACATATGACAACGATAGTTTAATGGGCAGGTACGAAACTATCATCTATGATACCTATGACAATAACCTGGGAGTAATCCGACGGTGTTAAATCAACCGTAACATTTCTCTGGAAGAGAAATAATAGAGGGTGTTTTTTTTTTTTTTTTGCAATAGTTTCAATAAAGGTTTCCGGGTTTTTTTTTTTTTTTTGGTTGTTTTGTTTGTTTGTTTGTGCTTGTATAAGCAAGGTCGGTCATCGGTAAAAGGACGTCCTATAAATTAAAAAAAAAGCAGAAGAAGTAGGAATGTGTGAGAGTGTGCGTGTATTAAAAATATTTTGATTTATTTATTTATAAAAAAACGGTGAAACAACGGTGGGGGTAGAAAATGCAAATGATGCAGTTTTTGACCTAAATCAAATTGATATAAATTCCCGGAGAGCGTACAGGTACGATAAGTCATACGGGGGGTGGGAGGGGGGTGACACACGAATCTCGTGTGACTATATGCTACGACAACAATTAGTGAGAAACACGAAAACCTATTAAGACATATAAAACGATTTGTAAATCTTTAGATGGAAACATAAATCGAGGGCAATGCACAGGTACCAAACGTTAATGCCACATGCTGAGTACATGGGTACTTGAGCGTCTGGCTGCTTTGGTATCCCGCAGAGACCACGACGAGGGTGCTTCTACAACATTTTCCTTTTTTTTTTTTTTTTTTTTTTGTTATACTGTTGTTGTGTCAGCGATGTTTCTATGTAAATTTGTTTGTTTGTGATAGTCCGACGGACGATATACCGACCCTGCCCCACCCCTACCCCCCCCCTCGAAAAAAAAAAATAAAACAACCGTGAGAATTTTTTTTTATAAAAAAAAAATCATAAAACTGGTATTTTTTGTAGTCTCTACAAAAAGTCAACAAACAATTTCTTCTCTTTGAATTTATTATTATTATTATTATCATTATCATTATTATTATTATTTACAAGAATAAAATTTTCTTTCTAATGTAAATCTTAATTACGATGAGGGTCTTACTTAGAAGATTACAAAAAAAAAAAGTGGTAATTACCTGGTATTTCCATTGGATACCCCAAAGTAATTAATCAACTTAATAAATATGTTTTGCGTACCTTGAATTTCACATTGTAGGCAGTTTGTGAGTGTACCCGAAAGAGGAGAGAGGAATGGGGGGGGGAAGGGAGAGCCTTAAACAATGATTTTTTTTTTTATTCGCGTGAATTATATTTGAAAACAAACAAACAAACAAAAATAATATTTTCGTTAATAGGATTGCGTTAGAAATTTTTAAAAAAGTGTGTAAGGTCAATCGTGAAATGTTTTCTTTTTAAAATTTCCGATTAGATATTATTAGCCAATATCAAAAATGAAATCACATAATAATAATAATAATAATAATAATAATAATAATATCATTCATTAATTAAAATCGTGCGAAAGGTTTTAATGATTACGGGTGAGGGGGGTGGAAATGAAATTAATCTTTCCATAATAACTGCCAAAAAAAATTAAAACGTGTTGGGAAAACGCGGGAAAATTTTTTTCAAAGAAGTGGAATCAGATGACGATCGAATCCGAATAAATAGTCGTGGTACGAGTGAATACAGTAATAAACGTTCCTTCCACGTTAGATGATGATGATGATAACGAGCGATGTGATTCGTTAATTTTTTGATAAAACGTTGGTTATGTAATAAGAAAAAGGAAAAATCCTCTTCGTATAGGATTCGGCCGCCATATTTAAATATAAAAAAAAAATGTATATACATTGTTTCTTTCTTTCTTTTTTTAATGATGTAGCGAAACAAAATTTAAAAAAAAAAAAAATTATGACATGTTTATTCATTGTAAAAAAAAAAAAAAAAGTTTTTTTTTTGTTCGCCCAGTAGTAAATTCGACAACAAATTATGATCCTTCGCATAAAACAGTCATTGTCCTCCTCCTCCCATTTTTTATTTATATCTTTTCAATGGGTTTTTTTTTAAAAAGTTTTTTCGTTATAATCTTCAATCAAATTATTATTATTTTTTTTACTCTATGGAATCGACTGATTTTTAAAATAAAGACAACAACAACAAAAAAAAGCCGCCAAATTCGAATTTTTTCCTTTTCATGTTACGTCATTTTTTATTTTTTTCCGAATCTTCTTACGTAATTTACTATTATTATTATTATTATTATTATTATCCGTCGTATTATTGATTGTCCATAAAGTAAATAATATAATTTATACTTAAAAAAAATTTATTTTTTTCTGGAAATGGAGTCTGAGTTGCTGGAACGTTGCTGGACGAGTTTCTTGAAAAAATAAAAATAAATTTTAAAAATTATTAATAAGTAACGATGTGATTAGTTTGTTTGTTTGTTTGTTTGTTCGTTTGTTTGTTTTTGACGCGTATTTAATTATTATTTTTAATATTTAAATTTTATAAATAATTTAAACCTTAAAAAAATTCGTCGAATCACGATGATAATAATAATATTTTCAAATTAAATATTTCGTGTGCGTAACGAAGTGATTTGATTCGAGTTTCGGGGGGGGGAGGAAGTGAAGATAAGGGGGTAAAAATTTAAAAAGGGAGGAGAACATGATGAGGAGGTGCACTCGGAAGAGAGAGGCAAGGGGGAGGGGGAGGGGCAAGGAAAAATAAAATAATCGTGACTCTTTAATATAATGATGAATTTTTTAACAACCATTCAGTGCTTGTCTCAAAACAATATAAAATTTTCTAAATAGATTGATTTTTTTTTCGAATTCGTTCGAAATTTAAATTGTTTGATTTATTTGTTTGTTTGTTTGTTTGTTTGTTTGTTTGCCTGCTTGTTTGTTATTTATCCAAAGGAATAATCGGGTTTAAAGAATATAAATATATTAATAGAACGCAATTTTTTTTCTGTTTTATTTTATTTCGGTTCTTACGTCAAATCGGTTTATTTCTTCGGAAAATAAGTTTTTAAAATGAATAATAATAATAATGATGATGATAATAATAATAATATTAATAATAATAATATTAAAATGTAAAAATTTTGGAAAAAAAAACGAAATAAAAAAAGTTTTTGTTTTTTGTTCGAAAAAGGTAAAAAAAAAAAAAAAAAATTAAATTAAAAAAAGCTGTTCGGTGAGTTTTTTTTTTTTTTTTACTTCCCCCTCATCATCATCTTCTTCTTCCACGTTTGAAAAACATTTTTAAAGGATTAAAAAAAAAAAAGGAATAAATAATAATGATAATACTATATATATATGGTGGTAAACGCCATTTAAATTTTTTTTTTTTTTTTTTAAATAAAATTTAAAAGATGAAAAACATCAACTTCAAAAAAGTTGATGGGTAAATATAAATGTGGGGAAGGATGAGGAGGAGGAGGAGAAGAATTATTAAAAAAAAAAAGATTGAAAAGTTTCTTTTTTTATCTAACGCCACGTTTCTCACCTGCGTATCAAAAAGATTATTATTATTATAACGTACCTGAATTAAAAATTTATATATATGTCAGTGGTGTGTGCACGATTCGAGTTTTCGATTGTTTCCCTGGAAAATCTTTTCCTTTTCGCAAAATTTTTTTTTCTTTTTCAAAACTTACTCTTCATCATTATCATCATTATCATTATTATCATCATTATTATTATCATTTAGACATATAAAACGTTCTATAAGATAGAAATTTAATGTCGTTCACGTGTCAAGTCATACCGGTTGACAACAACATATGTGATAAATTTATTTATTTTTTCCTTCTTTTTTTTTTATTGTTTTTATTGTTTTTATTTATTTATTTATTTTTTTTATTTGCACGTCACATTCTTTAGAACATTCTAGAAAGTTTAAAAAATAATTCTAAAAATATAGCCGACGAAGAGCCAACCGAGTTTTTGTAAATAAATCCATGCAAAAAAATTATTATGTAGAAAATAAAATTTAAAAAAAATTTTTCCCTTAAATCGCTTACGTATTTATATTGTTTGTCGTGTGACGTCATTTCCGTTTTTTAAGGTATATCAATGTCGGTTGTTTTAAACTTTCGTTAACGTCATCTAAATCTTTTTTTTTTTTTTAAAATAATTTCGGGTGTAATGCGACGACTTTTGATTCGTATTTGAAACAACTTTTCTTTTCCTATTTTTATCATCATCATCATTGTGTGGTCCGTTTGTAGGCATACATTTTTTTTTATTTCTTTCGTTTAAGCGTGAATGCACGCGCACACACGCACTCACGCACAAACACGCTCGTAACACGTTTTGGGATCACGACAATTATTATCAGCTTTGCGTATTTTTTTTTGTGTTTTCCTTATCCGCGCTTTTTACTTTAATCCTCCCAACTCTTACTATTATTATTATTATTATCATTATTATTATTATTATTGTTGTTTTTACTATTATTATTATTAATGAGAATCGAATTGGGAAATAAAATCAAACGGTGGTGCAGACATAAATTTTTTTATTTTTATACGAAAACTAAAACGTTTTTTTTTTATTTTAAACCTCAACATTTTACGGGTTAAAACAAACAAACGAGCAAACAAACAAACAAAAATTTGTTGCAACAACCGTAATAAAAAAACAAAAAGTTCAAAACATATTTTAATTTAATTTTTAAAAAAGAATTTGGCAAAAATTATATTTAAAAAAAATAAAAAAATAGAGTTTGACGTGACATTTATGTTTGCCAAAAACAATGATGAGTAGTTAAACAACGTTACGATGTAAACAATAATAATAATAATAATAAAAGAAAAAATAAAAATAAAATAAAATATAGAAGAGAGAGAGAGAGAGAAAACAGGCACACAAGAAATAATTTGGCCTCAACATTTGCAACTAAACCCGAAACGAACTTTCATTCATCCATCCATCCATCTGTCACCAGATTTGGCTCGGACGTAGACATGCAGCTTTCATGGGGCAATAAAACAACCAACAAAACCCCCCCTAAAAAAAAAAAAAAAAAACGCTATTGAAAAACGATAAATCATTTTCAACGCCCCATTCTTTCCAAAGAATATTCATCGGGGCGTTCTCTCTCTCTCTCTCTCTCGAAAGAGAGAGAAAGAGAGAGAGGGAAAAAGTTGGGACATTTTATGTTGTTAATTTATTTGGCACAAGTTTTTAATATTTTTTTTTATTTTTTTATTTATAAACAAACAAGTGAATCGCAACACATAACTTAACAACAACCAACAAACTCGTAGACAACATTCTCTCTCTCTCTCTCTCTCTCTCTCTCATTTTTTTCTAACTTTATGTTAAACCTAAAAAAAAAAAAAATCTGGTAGAAATAGGCGATGTTAGGGTTAAAAAAATTTTTTGCACAAAACGGGACATGAAGAAAAAACCTTTGCATTTGGTTCTTGTTGTTGTTTGTCGTTGTTTGTCTGTCGAATTTGACCCGGATTTTTTATTTTTATTTTATACGCATATAACGGCGGCGGCATACCTTGTACAACAAAGAAATTGTAGAACGTGAAAAATTTTTAATATGTTTTCGCCAATATTTAATCCGCCACGCCACGCCGAATGATTTTATATTAATCTTACGGAATTAAATAATATAAATTCTTGGTTAAAAGTTTTCCTGTTTTCGGCTCGCTTTTTTGGGGGGAAGGAGTAGAGAACACACACACAAAATAATCGGAAAATTCATTCGTGTTTTAAGGAATATCCATTTCCTCCCCGTTTAAATAAAATGGAGGAAAAGAAAAGGAAAATTGTTGTATATAAAATTATAATTGTAACAATAAGCGAAGCCGTCAGGCTGGCGTCAGTTCAAAGGCATAAAACATGCGCGTCTTATTCATTCGATTCGGATTTGATACACTTTTAGGTATCTCAAACGTTTTTTTTCCTTTTTTCCTTTTATCATTATTATCACAATGGAAGACAATATATTTTTTTCGTATTTACTCCTTAAAAACAAATAATTTTCTTATTTAAAAAAGAGGAAAAAATTAACAAAAATCATAACGACATTGACTGGAAACTTTGTTCAACCCCCCCACCCCCCATGTGTGAGGAGGCCACACCGAGACTGTTTTTTTTTTTTTAGTTCCACGCCATGTTTTAGGATTATAGCATACCTTTCGTCACAGTATAATACAAAAAAAAAAATAATAATAATGATTTTAAAAAGCCACAAATTATTATTGGGAAAAAAAGTTACATTCGGGATTCAAATAAAAATTATTATTATTATTATTACTTTGTTTTTCGTACGCCGAACTCAATCATGTTTTTTAGTTTAAAATTTAACTTCAACCTTTTCTCTCTCTCTCTATGACGAAGTAGTAAAAAAAAAAAAAAAAAAAAAAAAAACATAAAATATTATTATTTATATTTGCAACTGTTATAGAGTATAGTCGGGATTAAATAATAATAATAATAATAATAAAAAACACGGTAAACAAATGTTTTTTTTTTTCTTAATGTGTCCACATGTGTCATATAAATTTAAATTTTTAATTGCGATAAAAAAAAAAAAAGATGGTGGTAGAAAACGTTGTGTTCAACGCCATCCTTTTTTTTTTTTTTTTTTTTTACAAAAAGAAAAAGTTACTGTCAGAATGTAAAAATAAAAATAAAATAAAACCGATACGAATTTAAACGAGTTGTTCAAAGGAAAAATAAAATGGATGCCGGTCTGACTGAGTGACGGTCACACAATTCTAAGAATCGGTGAAATAAAACCGCAACTAATCGAATCCATGAAAAAATAATTAAAGAGACAGCTGATGATGATATGGTTTGGTTGTTACACGTCGGCCAGAAGCAAGAGAGAAAAGGAAAAGAAAAGAAAATTTACATTACGTGATAGAATAATCGGTATCATTCGTCGTCGTTGTTGGCGGAAACACGTGGTAGAAGAAAGAAATGGTGGCAGCAATCCATGATACCCCCTTTTTCGTCTATCGTGGAAATAACGAAATCATTTACATTTTTGTTTACAGATTCGCTTCTTTGTTCGGGTTCGGAAGACGAAGATGAGGACGACATAAAAAGTAATTCACATCATCATCATCATCACGGTTCTAGCACACCGGAAGCAAATAACAATTCTTTAGCAAGCGACGTTATGACGCCATTATTAAATTGCGATAGTAAAACGACACAGGACGACTCCGAAGACCAAGGTTAGTAGTATACCAACTTAACAAAAACCAAAAACCAACAACAACAGGGGAAAAAAATTAATAATAATTACTCCACTACAGGCTCTCTCGACGGTGATCCCGAAACAAGGGATTCACAAACGGAAAATAAATCACCGGACGATGGTAATTCGGGGTCGAAAAGAAGAGGGCCAAGAACAACAATAAAAGCTAAACAACTAGAAATTCTTAAAAATGCCTTTTCACAAACGCCAAAACCTACAAGGCATATAAGAGAACAATTAGCCAAAGAAACTGGTTTACCAATGAGAGTCATTCAAGTAAGTTTTTTTTATATTATTATTATTATTATTATTTATCATAATCATCATCATCATCATCATCATTTAATCTTTTTTTTTTTTACTTATTTAAATGAGGCGCCATTTTTTTTTTTTTTTTTAAATTTGTGTGACGTTTATTTTGTAATTTTAAACACTTTTTTTTTTTTTTTTTTTTTTTTTTTTTTTACATACCCATACATTTTTAAATTACCAAAATGGCGGCACGACGTCTTCTTTGTTTTACAACATCGAAGTCGAGGGTAGTGAACGCACACACAAAAAAAATTATTTTCACAGAGTAAATAAATCTCTTTAAATATTATAATTTACATTTCTCGTGCCACTTTTTTTTCTTCTTTTCTTCTTTTAATCCAGTTGTCTTCTTTTTTCTTCTCGTTAAATAATTTCTTTTTTTTTAAAATATTTTTTTAAGGATTCGTCAGTTTTTTTTTTTTTTTTCTGATATTATTCATTGCGAAAAAAGAAAAAATACGTAGGTTCGTAGGTCGGCCATTTTGAAAAACGTTACAACGAAAAAAATAAGAAATTTTTGCTTTGGTTTTGATTAATGTTTTTTGTTTACCGGTCAAGAAATTTTGAGAAAAGTTTTAATTTCTATTTTTTTTTTTTTTTCGGACGATGTTGTTGTTGTTGATGTTGTTTGTTGTGTTTTTGTTTGTTGTTGTTTTTGTTGTTGCAAGCGGTAAATCCAAGCAGTAAATGTCATTACGACCATCATCAATCACGTGAATTTGAAGTTAAAAAAAATTTTTTTTTTGACTTAGATTGATTCATTATCATTAATTCCCCCTTCCCCTCCCTCCCCTCCCCTCCTCTCGGCAGGCTGGCCCGCAGGTTCGCAGGTTCGGAGGTTTTGAAATTTTTTTTTTTTTTTTTTCATTCATGAAATTTAAATTTCCGGGTTTAAAAAAAAAAAAAAAAAAAACTTAATTTTTTTTTACTTAATTTGGTTAGGAAAGAAGAAAAATTATACATAAATTTTTTTTTTTGTAAAGTTGGTAGCCATCCGTCAATTTTGAATGGTAATAAATAAAAAAAAAGTTTTTTTTTTTTTTTTAGCTACTTTCATTGAAAATGTCAAATTTGTTGTTGAAAATGGCCGTCAGGAGCCTTGAAATTGTTTTTTTTTTTTTTTTTTGTTTAATGTGGGTTCCACCACGACGCCATTTATTTAATTACACGTTCTTACGCATATTTTTCCCTCTCTACGCACACGCACGCACGCACACACATCTAACGAAACCCTTTTAAGGAAAAAAAACAATTTTTTTATATTTTTTTTTTCTTTAAAAAATTTTATTTATTTCAAAACAATCCCAATAAAATAAAATTATAATAATAATTATTATTATTTTCTTTTTTCTTCTACCACGACAAATAACTACGACCACGACAAAAACAATTTCTTTTTTTCAAACTAAGTAATCTTATTTTTTTGTTATTAATAATTTTTTTGCAATCGAATCAAAAAAAAAAAAAAAAGTGGAATTAAATTATTAATCTTTGATAATTCTTCTACCCCGACAAAAATTGTTTTTTTCTTTCTTTCCGTTTGTCTTTACAGATCATTAAAAATCACAATTTCTCCTCGTTTGATATTTTTTTTCTTTCGTTTTATTTTTTTCCTTTTCTTTTTTTTTTTGCCGTTATCATCATCATCATCATCATCATCGTCATCGTCGTCGTCGTCGTCTTTATTACTATTATTATTATTATTATTATTTTCTATTTCAAAAATACATAAACCATCGCTTTATTTTTATGTTCGAATCCTTAAATATAGCGCTATAAAATTTCATTTTTTTTTTTTTATTTATTGAATGAAAAAAAAAAAAAAAATTAAAATTTACACTCTGACTCTTTACAAATGGAATAAAAAAAAAAAAAAAGTTGCTGATTTGTCATCTTTTTTTTTTTTATCATTTATTATTATTATTATTATTATTATTATTATTTTGTACGTATGCACGCGTATGTATTATGCGTAAGTGTGGAGCCTAAAAAAAAAATTTTTTAATAATAATAATAGTAATAATTATTTTTTAATTGTTATTATTTGTGGTGGTGGTGGTAATGGTGGTGGTAGTAGTGGGATTTTATTATTTTTCTCCCCCCTCGCCCTTTTTGAAAATCACATTAATAAAAAAAAAAAGGAACCAACCCTAAAAAAATGCAAAAAATAATATATAAATCGATAATAATCAATCGATAATAATCAATACGTGATTTATATATCCGAAATAATTAATTAATTTGTATAACTTTGAGTTTTCAATGAAAATGTCGCAACGAGAAAATTTCAAATCCATCGATCGATATATCGATCGATCGAGTGATAAATACGCACGTATTGGGACGAAAACGTAATTATTATTATTATTATTATTATTATTATTTTGTTTTGTTTTTCTGACATTTTTCGCGCGTTTTTTTTTTTTTTTTTGAATAAAATAAAATTTTAGGGGTTGGAGTGTATTTAATTATAATCATTATTATTATCATTATATAATTATTATTATTATTATTATTATTTATATATATATATACATAAATAAATTTCCTACTTGAATATAATAAATAAGACAATCAATAAATAAACCTTTAATAAATAAAAAATAAATAAATAAACATGAGTAAATGTTTATTATTATATTTTTATGTCTTCTTAATATTATTATTATTATTAACAATAAAAAAAAAAAATGCCGGAAAAGTCAAATTCTAAAGATCAGAAATTTGAAAACCAAAGTTCTGCAAATTATTATTATTATTATTATTATTATTATTATTAATTAAATAATAAATAAATAAATAAAATAGACGAATTTATTCGTCAACAAACAAACGGGGTTGTTTCCCTTTTTTTTTTTTACTTTTTTTTTTTTTTCATGTTAAAATTATTAGTATTATTATTTTATATTATTACTATTATTATTATTAATTAATAATTATTATATATATATTAAAAAAAAAATTATATAATAATTACGAGATAAATAAATAAATAAATTTAAAAAAAAAAGTTTACAAGAATGAATTTATTCGATGTAAACTAACGAAAAATTTTTTTTTTTTTTTTTTTTTTTTTTTTTATTGATTCTGATCTTTAGAAACCGACAACGGCAAAAACAGCAATTAAAGGAAGACAATTGGAAATATTAAAAGCTGCATTTGAAAGCTCACCCAAACCTACTAGACAAATCCGTGAACAACTTTCAAAAGATACAGAACTACCGATGAAGGTGATTCAGGTAGGAAATTTATAACAACAACAAAATAAAACCCCTTTTTATTATTATTATTATTATTATTACTAGTTTTCTCTCTCTCTCTCTCTCTTTTTATTATTATTATTATCATCACTGTTAATAATGTTTCGGTCTCGTTTCTTTCTTTCTTTCATTTTTTTTTTTTTAAATAAATGTTTGTTCGCGTTTATAAAAAAAAAAGATTTCGGGTTGGATCGTTAAAGGATGTAAGAGAGAGAAAGAGAGAGAGAGAGATAGAAAAAGGGTTATTAAGGGGAGTTAATGGATATCAACCAAATGACCGCCCAATATGATGATTCTTTTATTATTATTATTATTATCATATATACGTAAGACGTAAAAATTTTTTTAAATCGGATTTTTTTTTTTTTTTTTCAAATCTCTTCAATTCTCTTTTACTCTATGGTTTTGTTTTTTAAAAAGGTTTACAAATGACGTGGTTGTTATTTTAAAAAAAAAAAAGATGGAATTTATTTTTTTTCTAATGCCACGTTTAAATTTTTTTTTTTTTGTAAGTTAATAATGGTTTCGATTCCTCTCTCTCTTTTTCACATCCTTTAAGACGAAATAAAAAAAAAAAAAAAGACACTCGAGGAAATAATAATTAATTTTTGTCGTTGTGGAATAAATAAATCACATCCGTTTTGACGTTTCGATCAACTTCCGGTTTTGAAAATAAAAAAAAAAAAAATCAAACGTTTGATGATTCCTCGCGTTTTGTGCGTAATTTTTTTTTTTTTTTTTTTTAAATAAACGGTTAAAATTTTTAAATTTATTTTCAAAATATTTATATTATTATTATTATTATTACTACATTAATACCCTCCGAGACATCCGCCATATTTAATTTATTTCTATAATAAATTATTAATCGATAATTCATAACGAAAAAAAAAAAAAAATTAATGATAATAATGATTATAATTTTGTAATTCGATTTTTTTATATCTTTCTCTCTTCCTCGTTACGCAATTTGTGGGTGTTTTTATTTATTTATTTATTAATAAATAATTTATGTTTAATAAATAAATAAAAATGCCACCGTTTTGTTTTATAACATTTTATTTGTTTATAAAAAAAAAAAATTTTGTTGTTTTGCGGTTGGATTTATTTGTATTATGGAAAATTTGAAAAAGCCATGTGGTCTTATTTTATGCTACGTTGACCACCACCACCAACACCGCTTAAAACCAATTTTTTGTGAATACATAATTAAAAGGCAAAGAAAGATGAGAGTGAGAGAGAGAGAGAGAGAGAGAGATAAAAAAATTTTCAACCCTTAAAATTTACCACCCTTTATTTTAACGTTTCTTTTTTTTTTAATGCATAAAAAATTAACCGTGAAAATATAAGAAAAAAAAAGTTTATCGATTTTTCGAAAATTTAAATCCGTTTAAAGCAGAAGAAAAATAAAATGATGACGATAATAATAATAATAATAACGTTCGGGTTGGAAGGGAGGGTGGGAGGGAAAAGGAGAAGGGAGGGAGGGAAGGAGGTAGGGGGACACACATCTCGGATTACAATTTTATTAATCGGTAGCAAATTCATGGCAGTTTATATATAATCGATTATATACATATATATCACGTGAATTATTACGTCACGTGACATTATTTATTAATAATTTTGAAATTTATTTATTTAAATAATAAAACAACAAAAATTATGGAGTAATAAATAAATAAATAAATAAGTCAAACACAT